TCTCGCAAGAGCACATCCTTTCCGGTGTCTTGCGCAGAGTTAGCGACTGTGCGTGTACGCCAGTCTATCCATGGTTGGTGTTTAGCCAACCAAGGCATGCCTAGGATGAGGTCATACGGACTCTCCATACCTAGCACTGTGAACTTCTCTTTACAGGAGAAGTCACTGAAACGGAAGGCAAGCTCAACTTGAACTCCCTCCGATTTAACGAGCGCGCCGTTCGCTAAACGAACGAGCGCCTCTTCTTGCTTGCCATCCTGGCAAAGCGACTCATAACTCGCCGGCCTCTTTTTCAGAGCCGCGAGTTTCATGAAGTTTTGTGATGCACCCGAATCCACGATAAGGGTCATCACTTGGTCATAGCCTCGTACTCGAGCGCTATAGACCAAAACGAGTTGAAGTCCGACCTTTCGGTACCTCATGGACTATGCTACCCATTTGTTCGATAGCTTTGAACATAGGGGTAGCTTCAGAGTCCGCGACAGTAGGGCATCCCGCCCCTACTGAGCTCCCGCATTTCCCGACCCATCTTGGGCAGGTGCTGAACCCGTGCGTCGTGCACGCTGGCTTTTTGCACCTCCCTTCGGGTTGGGAGACCTTTTGCTGGCTGCCTTAGCACCAGCAGCTACTTTCGCCTAGCAGCGAGCCATCATTATAGCCGCGCTTGCCGCACTTGTAGCAGATCACATCTGCATTGCCTAACTCCATAGGAGTGGCATCAGACTTCTCGGACGACGGCCTGTAATAGGCTGTCGCCGAAGCGCTGTTGTAGGATTGCTCCTCAACCAAGGCAATGTCAATTGCCTCTTCCATCGTCGGTGGCACCTTTCTGAAAAGGGCCTGACGCGATGGGCCGTGCCTAAGTCCATTCATGAACGTGGTCACCTTGATACGCTCTGGTATCGGTTCCCCATTAATGGACGTCGACAGCGAACGCATCTCCTGCACAAACTCTTTCAGAGAGCATTTCGCCTGTCGTGCTCCAAAGAAGCGCGCCATAAGCAACACTTCGTTGTTAGGCGGCTGATACATGGCGCGAATCTTTGCCTTAACGATCGCCCACGATGGAAACGCATCAGCATTTGCCATCAGCGCAGAGTATGCCCACTCTGACGCTTTGCCACGCAAGTTGGACATGGCATACGACACCATTCTGGTGTCGTCTTCGATGAGCTGAGCCACTCCACATTGCTCCACTGCTAATAGCCAGTGAACAATCGTGTGAGGGATAGTTCCATCGAACTTCGGAGGGTCCATCCGAATGGGCCTCGGTTGACTAGGCCGGGCAGAGAGCGTCTCAACAGTTCTGTTGAGCGCCTCATTACGTGCCTGCTCAAGCCTAAGCTCATCCTGAGTCTTAGTGATGGACTCAGCGGTGGCTTGGCTGTAGCCGAGCTGCACAGCCTTTAGTCAGAGGAAGACTTTTTAGGCTGAAAGCCTCTTAGTTCGAGAGAACTAAATAAATCTACGGCTTGAAGCCACTTAGCGCTAAGGAACTAATTAAACGACTTTAAAGTCACCCTCTTCTAAGGAAGTAGGAGAGATTTTTAGTCAGCAAGCAATAAACTTAAGGTTCAGAGAACCAACGCACAGAGTGCAAGAAAAAGCTAGAAGCTTAAAAGTTCAAGGAACCAACGCACGAAGTGCACAAGAGAGCAAGTCAGAACGACTTGCGATCTTAAACTCAAAAGGAGAACTGATTTTATTTATGCTTTGAGCTTTTATGAATAGTCCTACTCTAAGTACACTACACTAGATTAATTACTATAATAGTAATTATTATATGCAGACTTTGCTATTGGACGACGTATCGTCTAAACATCTGTGTATGATGTACTTAATACAGCGTTAGTGATTTATCGAATCTCAATCGATAAGATACGGTATTACCGAATACCGTATTACAACGCTCATACTTAATACCTCTCTAAAGAGAAGTATAATAATGCATTATATGCAATACAAAGGAGAGTTTAACCGTAAACTCTCGGAAAGACGCTACAACCGTCGTGTAACCCCGTTACAGCTTCCTTCCATTTAGATTATCCTTTTAAATGGTTCTTAAATACATCATTTGTTTTTGTTGAGAGTCAAAATGTGGTGATCAAAATGCTCTAGTAAATAAAATAACAAAATGATAAATGAATCTGAATAGGAGGCCTACTTCATTCGTATCGTTGCACACAAAAACAAAGTGTTAATGGTTCCTCAGATATCCACTAGCCTCTTTTTATTTGGCACAATACGAGTTGACAACAAGATTGACTCTTCTTGTAGACGGGCACTTCTACGAAATTGCCTCGTACTACTAGCACACACCTTCAGCACAAGCGAGGAAGCGGTTAGACCGTCTTACCTTCGCGTGCGAGGGTGGTTAGGAGGTTGGTCGGCTGCTTACGCAGTCGTACCACCAGTTGCCTCTCACTTAAGCGAGAGTGCAACGAACTTCTAAGACAAGAAGACACCGACGTCACGTAGAAGCTTTTCGGCTTCTCGTGCGTGGTGCTTTGGTGTTTAGCAAATTCAAGACTGAGCTATATTTAATTAATTATAACTAAATATATACTTAACTACTGATTGGCTATATATATATATAGATCGGATACGCGACTCTTTAGAAGCGTATCCTGTCGCATGATCTTAAATCTAGATTTAAGATCGCAACTGACGTCCTTCTGAGACGTCGCGATCCCTAGCTTCAACTAGCGTCATCCCTTCTCATGTGAATCCATCAATGGATATCACATTCAAGAGGGTGGATCACATTTGTGTATCGCACCCAAGTGACAGGTCAAAAGTAATCATGGATACTTTTAGACCAAACATTAAGTATATTACTTAATGTTTACGTGTAACTAGATGCCCTGTTACACTTCTGCAGTTGCGGCACAAGCCCGACGCGAGTCATGGACACTTAATCTGAGAAAAGGCTGTTTTTAGGATACAAAAAATAAATTCATATGAAATTCATAGTTGCAATGGCGAAGATGGCTGCCATCCTCAGCATTTTTACTACAACGCGTAGGGTGGTGCAGTTGTGTAGAAATGGTCTTTTTGCTAGATGGGGTTTAACGAGGGGGCACCTCTTTGTTGAGCACTTTGCTTGCCTTATCATATAAACGCTGTCTCGCTATTGATGTGCCCTTTTAACGCTTTTCTCGTGACAAATTCCTTTTCGTATTTTTCATGGAATTTGAGGGTGTCACGGGTTACGCTAAGATTGAAAGTATAAGAGGTGTCAGCAGAAGCGACGGGGTTCTCGGCACCAAGACGACGACTCAGAGATAATTGTAAAAATGCCAAGGGTAACGTATAGGCAAAAAAGGTGAGCAGCAGCGATACTGAAGGACTGAGACTTCGAACATGAATACAACAGCTATGTGTGAAGATAGTAACGTCACGGCCTACTTTGAAACTTGGCTTTGTGATAAGCAGCATGTCGGGTCACACCAACAGCATGTCAGTTCGATGTGTGCAATACTGCGCTCTCGGTTTTGGCGATATGATTGAGATGCAACACTAGATGTGACTAAGGCTACCAGAAATTTGGTCATATTCATGATGTCCTTATGGATCAGCTTCTGGTATGTTTTTATCGGTAATCTAGCTCATGCACGGACTAATTCATGAAGCGTCTCCACGACTCGACAGCTTCTGCAATTGGATTGACGGTCGCATCGCATGTTTTAGATTACGTCTTCAACGCGGATAGCGACAACGTAACATACCCACTAGCATGGAAGAGGTGGCATATCGATGTAGAGTTTACAAAGATGCCGAATCTGCGACCTGATCCGTCGTCTGCTTCCGCATCACACGTTGTACAACAGCATGATAAGCTGTTACAAGGCCGGCTAAGCCTGAAGACGATTAAACGCTACTACACGAGGCAAAGTCAGCTGCAACCATCAGCAGAACACCGCCGATGTTATGATGTGGTTACGCTCCAATCCATTGAAGAATTTGTAGAATAGTTTGAGTCTAGCGAGCTATAAGCGTATTCTGGTGTTGCCACTCAAGCCTACGACGCTGAAACAGAAAGTCACGTCTCCATTTTCTCTCTGGTTGACCAGTTTGTTGGCCTTCGGCGTCAAAGCGACAGCTTACTCAACATGAGCGATTTTCAGTGTCAGAAACTTTTGTGGCCCCCATTCCAGCCATGATCATAAGAAGACGATCTCGCTAGCACCAAATGGATTCCAGCACTCTGTATGACTTAACGACGCAGCAGCGTGTCTTCATTCTTTGCTACATTGTTATAGAGATCGAGGGGCCATTACTGATACCATCAAACGAAAAGCTGACATCCAGCTGCTGCTTGACGGCCGTGTCTCGCAACCGAGTTGGTCAAGTAGCACATGACACCAAGTAAAAACGTCAAAGTTGACATTGATATGAAAAGATTAGGATCGTATGAACTGGCTGCTGGCTGCATCTTCGCTGTGAGCCAAAGTTCGAAGTGTCGCAACGTTCTTGCGTGACAGCAAGTTGTCGTTAGATAACCAGGGGCCCACGTGATGTTATCGTGGCCGGGCTTGCTGCTCAGCCCCTCGCTTTTGATCCTCACCCAGCTAGTACCTGCGTCGTAAAGTCGGCGGAACAACGTGCTTCGAAGTCACCTAAATGAATCTTCGCTCACTATTCTAGCTGCTACGTTTGACAGGGGCATGAGTTATGCACTGTTTTCAAATCACAAGTCTTGCAGTACAATAATATCTCTAATGCCCAGGAGATGAAAAAGCTGACGTTGTGCATAACGATATCACTTTTTATCCATGATGATAGCTTTCTACAAGCACTAGTCCAAAAGGTGCCAGTAGCCCGGAAACTTTTATAATCATCCCTACAAGGAAGCGTTGCATATTCTTGCCATGCTAACAACGCAATTCATTGTTTACTGTCAAGATTTCAAGCACGTACAAAACTTTTGCTTGAAGAGTTTACACAAACGTGGACGCATTCACGCGCACACGCTTATAAATTATTAAGTTCTATCTATTCTAGCTTACGTTGATCTTCGCGTTCAGTTTGAGGTGACCGCCTTCTGAGGACCTCGGTAGCCATAGCAGAAGAGAGCCGCCACTTGAACGAGGAATATTCAGAAGACCCGGGCGCTTACGTGTCAAGTACAAAGTCTTGTCCTGCAGTGCCTTCACGGTCGTTGTCCAAGTCACCGTCTCCCCGCTTCCAACATAGACTGTAGCAACTTTTTCACCTCCCGAGCGAATAATCACATTCACGTTCTCGGTGTCAGAGCTAACAAAGATAATTTTCACCACACCGTCACCCTTCTTGGTCCACGTTCCTTCGCTGCCGTGGAAAGCATCATCTACGGTTGTAAGTCCTAGTGCATCTGTGAGATTCCCGTCGTCGATTTCACCGATGAATTCCGTCGGACCGCAAATAGACTGCACGTAGTTGAATGCCATGTAAGCAATGCCTGTGGGATCGAAAGCTGAGAGGCCGAGAAATCCCATATTGGCTGTTAACACCATGTAATCTTCCCTTGCCATAGCCTCACCCATATCGGTGGTGGATGTCTCAATCAGTTGATCGATGATCACCCCGAACGTTTTTCTCAGAGTATCTCGCGTCTGGTAAGCGATATAAGGCTTCTTGGTTTTTAGCAACTCGGCCATGCAGTTGTTGGTGACGATCGGAACATCCTCCAGCACAATAGACGACTTGCTCAGCTCGATTCGAAGGTCTTCGTTGGTAATGAATGGATTGTAGTCACGCATGTCGGCAATTTTGGTAATGACTCGGTCTGTGAGACGTTTAAGGTTGAACCCGCAAGAAGAGCTAGACTTTATCATGGACGTGAGGTTCGCCACACTCACCGAATCAAGCTCCCTCACCGACTTTCCTGCTGTGGTGTTTCTAAAGAACGCCATGAAAGCATCGATTGAGCTCATGATCACGTTATGGTTTAAAACCACTTGCTTGACAATTGTTTCCGCAGCGGTCACGACTGCATCAGCAAAGTAAGCATATCGCGGAACAGGGTATCCCATACAGGCCGTAATAGCAACTGGCAGATCGACGAGGAACAGGTCCGTTTGATATACTACAGCAAGAATCTCCTCTTTTGTCCCGTTCGGAGGCACGACTCGTTGAAATCGCATGAAACGAGAAATTCCTTCCGCAATATTAAATATGTTGAAAGCACACAATACTTCTTTCTTGACCGTCTTTAATGACCTGCTAATCGCGTTAAATACACCAGCAGTAGCAATATTGAGTACAACGTAGCCCGGATTTGTAACTTTGGCCATGATTTCCAGAGTACACTGGTCATTTTGAGGAATACACTCAGCAAAACACTTGACAGGATACGCGATCGGACATTGTGTCCAGCACATGCTTTTGCTTGCGTCGTAGCCTAAAGGACACGCACCCTGTGAGTTCTGCTGATGTATCTTTCGATAGCACGCTGTATCGAAAAAGTCTCCGATACTTGGACCTACCCAATTAGGAGGTATAGAGCCGTCAATCGGAAAGTTTAGCTTAACCTTTGGAGCCGCAGTAAATGTGAAAATGGACTCGTCTTCCTCTTTTACCGGTGCAGGTGTCGGTGCCGATATTGAAGAATGTGTGGTCTTTGGATACGATGTGTCAACGTTACTACTGAAGGAGTTGCTGGATGATGTTTTGACGTCATTGCTGGAAGTGCTGCTGGATGATGTGATGGTATCAAAATCGAGTGCCACCACACAAATAGTACACGCTATAAGTATGCAGAACATGAGCCACAGCCTCAACATCTTGGAGGCACTTCCTCTTCAAAAGTTGTATGCAAGTTTTAAACTGGTCAAGTCAAAACCGCAGGATGGGTGGTGATCTATTGACTGATTGGCCCGGTGTTGTAGACCCAACACCAATCATACCCAAGGCTCTGAGAAAGTGCGTGTCCGATTCGGTTGAGTGCAGCAAGTGCTTGTACGATTATACATATCTGACCGGTCGCTGGCTTCGGCGAATAATGAGGTAGCGACCAGATGAAAAGCTATAAAAAATACCTCAGCTTTGATACCGTGCAAAAATCCACGCAATGCAGTAGTGCATGAGTCTCTACTAAGACATCGATTAAAGAGCCACTAGATTGTTCAGTTTGATGTTGACGGTGCGCAAAGATAGAACGTAATTGATCGCCCTGCCTTTCCACCTGGTTTCACGGATTTACATTTTCTAATTATTGTCTCAAGACCTGCTTTATAAAAACAGATTCAGAAAATAATAAACAATAGTGATTTATGTCGTTTTCTATGCTTGTATGGTATTTTTATGAGGTATCATGATAGTCAATCAGCAACAGCAAGACTAGAGAAACTACATTAGCTGTAACTGAAAATTGTAGGCTCAGCGTACTTCAAGCTGATCCATCGTTCCCATATGGCCACGACGAGAGAGAGCTATACGGATTACTAAAAACATGAGCTGTACAAAAAGCGTACTATTGCTACGGCTACAGTATCAGCTAGGCAAGGGCTGCCTGGCACCGGTGCATCTTTCTCCAAGACTACGATAATCGATATGGCAGGTAACTTAGCCAAACTTTCCGCATGACGGTGTGTCTAGGAAGATAATGAAGGACCTTGCTCGCTCTACTACCGCCCCGAGCACTAAAGACAAAGAAGACAAACAGTTACAACCGCTGGCGGATTCCTACGCATAACTTGGTGAACATATACACGAAGCCTACACAGTAAGACAAGACAGAAGGAGAAAGCCAAAAGCACCGAGGAAGACCGACAACTTTGGAGCATAACGATGGAGTATGGCAATCGTGGTAGCGCTATTGCAAACGATAGCTTAAACTTTATCACGACCGTCAACATTGGCTTATGCATTAATTGTTGTATCGAAAGAAAACATCATAACTACCGACCTAAGGGTTTGTGCGTCACACAGGAGCTTCATTCATCTTGCCGAAGGTCCCTTGATTAAACTTCAGTGTCTGCCTTAGAACGCGATTAGAACCAGCACTCTTATTACTGTCAGAAAGTGCTTCAACTGACTCAATCTGTTCACACGCTGGCTGAGCGTCAGAGGTCCCACGCTCTTAACTCGGTCTACTACTTTTTGATGTCGGCTATCATTTGAAATTATGCAAGTAATTAGCCAAGCCGAGCCACTGACGCACTCTGTAAAGTTTTTGGGCGTGGGCTAAGAACAGATTGACGACACCTTCTCGGGATCAGCTCGAACTCCCAAGTAACCCACATAAAAACCCAGCACCGGAATCTCCTGTGCACAAAAGACGCAGTTTCTTAAATTCGCATACAACTTGTTGTCTCGCATGACTTGAAACACCTGTTTCAAGTGTTGATGGCGAACTTGAACATCGCTGAGGTTGCCATCAGCGCGACAACGATGTCATCGAAGTAAGTAGGAGCGAAGTCCGAAGTGTGTCCACTACAGATAGATCTTTCTTGCGCATTCGCTTACGGTGATGCAGCGTGGCACATATGCTGAGAATTCGGTGTACGGGATTGCGGCCGAACGTGAAGATGTTTGATCTATCGTCCCACAGGCAATCGCACTATATTACTCATAAAATTGTTTCAGCTGCAGCGATCGTCTGAAACACATCGTAATCTCATCTCAAATTAATGAAGCTCAGCTAACGAGAACGACCGTCTAGCGTTGGCCATAGAACTGATCACTAAGCAGCCGCTACAATTTGGGGTCAACGACATCACGTAGCCATTCATCGACAATTTTTTCGCGACTATCTACTCAACATTGTGATACAAATGAGCCAAATTAATAGTGCTATTAACAAAATTCGATTCACCCTCCAATCTCCGTCATGTTCACACGTGCTCTGCTGTTGTCTAAAAAGGTCTAGGCAATATTTGAACATTTTGAAGCCTCAGCAAATGTATCGAGTCGTACTACCGTGCAGTTCGAATCGTCCAGCGTCCTGTCTCTCACGCTTGTGGTTTGCCTGTAATTGTTTATAGTTCCCTGTGGCAGCGTGGTATGACACTTTGCAGTAGGACTGGAAATGCTACTGCGCGAGATATCGAAGCGGCAACAAACTGGACGTGTGGACCGATCAGCGCGTCGTGTCCTTCTTACTGCAACTTCACCTTCATGAAAGCAAATAAGTAGCGCCAGAACTCTTTGGCTGCCACCTTGTCCAAATGCCGCTTGTCTGGATGGATCTGTCAAATATCAGCACATATAACGTTAGGCGATATACAAACAAAACAAAACAACTACAACATACCATAAGCACTTTCACATCCCACTGCTTGATCTCAGCATTTAGCTGGGAGCCCTGATTGTAAATGTAAACTCCGCACACTACAGCATCGCAACACGCACCAATTAGCAAGTCATACCCTTGCACGCCACTACGAAAATGCCTACCTTTCTTGAATAACTCAAGCGGAAATTTCCACTTCCACCCCTTAAACTGCCATGACTGTCCCGACACAATGACCCCAACAACAGAGCGCCTAGTCCATACATCCAGTACCAAAACACTCAATACTCTAGCACAAAAATCATCGATAAACTAGACACAACGCACCAGTCCTTGTCCCGAAAGCGACTGACAGTGTCCACCACCTTAAACTTGTAAACATGTCCATCCTCTTCATGTGTGATCATTATTGACTGTTGTTTCCGGTTTCCTTCTGCTTTCTTCTGCATATTCGGCACATACACGCCTTCTTCTAGAAAATCCTTAACATTCAGCATTGTAAACAAGTCCGAGAAACCCGCAGGCACCACAATAATTGGTGTACCCAGAAGTTTCTCCTTCACAAGTCGATGCATCGGCAATTGTTCTTTTCTCGCTGTCGTCGTCGCCACTAAAGCCGAAGCTTTCGTCGCTTTTTCAATCTTCTCTTTTGTCTCTGCATTCACCAGCTCCAATGTCTTGATTACATTATCAAACTTGGTCTTATGGGCATCCAATACCGTCGTTCTTGTCCTAATGACGTATCCCTTGTCCATAATTCTCTTCATTTCCGCTTCCGTCTCCACTTGTTGCGGTGTCTTGTCCTGTTTCTGTGGTCTCGATTGCTGTTGCTCTTTTTCTTGCACCATTTTTCTCTTTTTGACCGATCTGATATCTTCTGCCTCGTCTCTTGTCTTCTTGACCCCATTTCGACGGTCTTTTTCACCTCGTTTCGTCGTAGGTTGACCATTAGCGTCCAAAATCTGTGGACTGCTCTCAATGTCCCCTTTCAAGTACGCGACAATCTCCTTCTTGTCCACAGTAGACACCATTGCCGCCTTATCTTCTCGACATTTCAGCACATAGTCACTGAAGCTCAACGTTTCGTGCTTGAAGCACGTGTACACGGCCAAGAGGTCGTAGCTCTTGTCCAGCTTCTTTGAGTAATACGCAGTGGCGCTGTGCTTGGGCAGACGATTAATCTCTGCACCGCCAACGTCATGGAACACGAGGAATTCGTCTTCAACGGACACAGTTTTTCCAGCGATCAAATGCTCGCGCAGTGCGCGCAGCGCGGCAAGAGGAGTGATGGTCGTGGACGCCATTTATGAAGTGACTCAAATTGGGTACGTTATTTCTGAAATTTGGGACATGGTGGATAATCTGAATGAGGTTTTTTTCCTTTTGGGCCGATTGGTATGCGGTATTTTATTGTGGGATATTATCCAAACACTCGAGATATTATCGGATATGAGTGAGCCCCATTTGCTGCTATACTTTGATGTGAACAAGGTTTGTAGATATTTTTGAAGTGGCTATAAGGACATTTCACTCTAATATGTGATTTGTATATTTGTAGACCGTAATTATGCACGACCCGGTGCAGGGCAAGACTCTGCCCCATATCCTGAACGACCTATTGACGGAACGAGCCTTGGGGCACATCGATAAAGAGTCTCAGCGGGTTTGGAGCTGGAATGGGGAACGAGTTTTGGATAAAATCCGAGAAAGTGGTGATGATAATTGCGTATCGTACGGACACTTTTTAAGAGCCCAGTTCCCTATTTCAGGCGACCCGAAGGTGGCCGAGAACAACAAACATAAGAGGAAGATGTTACGTCAAAAGTTTACGGTAGTAGGAAACCCAGGACAGGGTTTGATAACGGAGTATGATTCCCTACTGCAACACCTGCTGCTACCTAGTACAGCAGCAAGTGAAGCGCAGTTGGAAGAAGTGGGGCTCAGTGAATCACCCTACTGTTTCATTGTACCGGCATTCTTTAGATTATTGCAGTATCTTCAAAAACGCGAGGTGTCATTCAACCTCATTTTCAGGACATTTGGTGATGACTTGCATTCTGTGGCAAAAGAGTTCAACAGCTTCTGTGAAGGACGACATCCGTTCTTCCCGCTGGCTAAACCTATGGATGGATCGGGTGGAGGCGTTGACCGTCGAATGCATCTTAAGGAAATGTCAAATGGAGAAATGCCTCGATTCGGAACCTTTTTGCGAGCGGAGGGAACGACGGCGCTGATTATGGGCACCTTCAAGCAGCCCAAAACCGTTAATAAAGCGGAGCCTTTGGCATTCTACGCTTCTCGAATGGAATCCGTTCGGATCGTACAAGGACTGCCAAAAATCCACGATTTTCTTACTCGGCGTTGGCGACACACGCAAGAGACGTTAGCGCTGCGTGATTTTTACCCGCATTGGTTTTTCAATATGACAGATGCTACCGCCGGAAAATTGTTGACGTTGGACCCAACGGATGACACTGAAAATGTCCATGCCATGTTCTTCGACGACAACATCTTGTCACATGATGCACACATTATTGATGCGCGGTTTGCACATAATGATGTTGCCTTGGATTTTGAGGACACGCGTGAGCTGCATCTCATGCGCGTTGAGCCGCTAGATGTTATCCAACGCGATACGTACTTTATCGAGCGCTTGGAAACTTCGTTGCAGCGATGGAAACAGAAGCGACAGTAGTTGCTGTGTGCTGATACTTACTTTTACCTTATGTCATGTAAATTGTTTTGGTTAGGCCATTAACGCATTGGGTTTGCAAAAGAATCATGATCAGTATCGGCTACGATGGATAGCTGACAATAGACATGTGTCTTGCGGAAGCCAAATGAAGCAAACAAATATGAATAGTTCTACTTTATTGCAATCTTCACGTGTATGCTAGCTTACATTAAGCTTCGCTTCGATCTCCAGGTGGCCTCCTTTAGACGCTATCGGAACCCACAGTACTAGCGAACCACCTCCCGTACCGGGCAAACCAAACCAACCGGATCGCCAGCGGTCGAGATACAATGTTTTGCCACCCAACGCTGTGGTGTTTGACATCCACCGGGCAGTTCCACCCGCAGCGACATACACCTTGTCAATTTTATCGCCTCCCGACATAATGTCCACCAACACGTCCTTTGTATCGGTACTTGCAAAGTTAATAATAACTGCACCATCACCCACCCTTTTCCACGAGCTGGAGCTACCTTGAAAAGCTTTTTGTAGCGCATTTAGCCCCAGCGTTGCATCTTGCGTTCCATCATCGATCTCACCCATGAATTGGGTAGGTCCACAAACTGTCTGAATATACTCGGACAGCAATGTCGAAATATCCGTCGGGTCAATCATCGACGCAGAAATAGTAGAAAGACCCGTGTCGATCCACTTGTACGCGGCTGCTTTCTCGTCCAACGACGTGCCATTGTCACTTTTTCCTGACTTGATGAGATCGTTGATTATCACTCCAATACTCTTGCGCAGTGTCTCACGGGTTTTATACGCAGTCTCCTCGTTGGATTCTTTCGTCAGGTGCTGCATACAATTGTTGGTTACTGTGGCGACATCATAAAGTACAAGGTTGGACTCACTGATCTTGAGGCGAATTTCGTCATCCGTGATGCCGGGCGTGTCTTCTCGGTACTCATTAACCGTCATCCAGACACGATTGGTCAAAGATTTCAAGTCACCGCCACAACTGGAGTTCTGCTTCATTGCCGTTTCCAGCGACTCAATCTCGCCCTCTGTAATTTCTTCTACAGCTTCCGTGAAGTTGGCGCCCTTGATGAACGCCAGAAACCTCCCCCAGCTCGAGATGATGTCGTCTTTGTAGGTGAGAGCCTGTAGCAACATCCACTGCGATGTAGCCATAACAATTTGCGTAAGCCGAAACTTTGAAGGAATGTTCTTCCCCATGCACGCGATGATGGCCATGGGCAAGTCGGTCACCACGGCGTTGGTCTGATACAGCATCAACAGAAGCTTCGCTTGGGACGTCTGTGGGTCCTCCGTCTTTACGTTACGAACGTACCGAATGATATCTCTCATTACCAGCAGCAACTGGTTCGTGCATTGCACGGCCCAAGTCAATTTCTTGCCCATTTTCAACAATTCGCCCATTATACCAAAGGTGGCTGTGCCAATAACTGCCATGGCCACTGCAGATACTTTGCTCGAGACCTCAAGTGTACAGTCACTGTTCTGTCGTACACATTCCATGCCACACTCGAGAGGAAATTCTACTGGACATTCTGTCCAGCAAGTATTGGTCAGGCTGTTGCGGTCGTAGTTTCTCGGACAAATGTCCATAATATGGGCCTCACGGTAACACGAGGTGTCGGATGCGAGACTATAGGGACCGACCCAGTTCCGATATGTTGATCTGACTGTGCTTACGGCGGTAGCAGGTGTGGCGTATTTCTTCAGCAACGCTGCGCTGTCGAACGAAGATGATCCAAGTGCAAGAAGTGGTACTGCTGTTGCAGGCACCTCTGTAGCCGTGTCCACAGAGGAGGGGCTTGATGTTAACCCGACATTGCCGTTTGAGGAGACTAAGCCGTCACCCCATGCACCAATGCCGTTTTCTAGCACCAACAGAAGTACGAGTACCACAGTTGTTTGGATAATCTTACCCATGTAAAGCCTTCCGAGGAGAGAGCGAGACCAACTTGCAAGTTGAAAAATGAAGGCTCTCTCACACTCATCTGACGCAAGAAGATCATCACTTTGATCGGATCGCCCATAAACAATATTCCATGCAGGCACTTCCCAAATCGGCAGCCAAGAGCGACAACGGATAGAGACGAGACCTCTAGGAAGCCAAGAAACTGATCCCCTTACCTTGGACGGGAAGACCCCCCCCCCCCCATCGTGGAGACAAGGTAAAGGGGGAGGGGTTCTCCTCGCTACGTAGGCAGCGCAACGTGCGACTTGAAAAAGAAGCGGTCCGCAGAATATCCTAGGTGTGGGGCACGTCGACGATGAATCGAATCGCCCTGTACATCGATCACTTCCTACTCTTTTCGGTCTGAACACGCATCTTGGCAGGCATGGGCTCTCCAAGGAGCAATGTAGGACTGGATAGCAGAAGTGTATCAGCGCCAACAGAGAGGACGGTAGCTCTTCAAGGATTGCAGGATCCCCGGAAACACTCTCCAGCAGTTGATCGGACCTCTCCTGTTACTGACACTACCGGACCCTGAGGGTAGGCAGCATCAGTACGTAACGGAGCTCGAAGGACTGGCATCGGAGGCGATCAGCCGGACGACAGAGGAGGAATGGGTGGTGGAGCTCTCCCGACCACCCTGTCACTTACCTCGGACAATGACACCAGAAGAGGAAGCATTCTAGCCCGCGCACTCCTGGGCCGAAAACCCATAATTTGTGAACCAGCAGGAGAACTTCTGAACGTCAAGGCAGTATGTCAAGATTCAGCCCTGCGCTATAGCGGAAGTGAGGTATAATCCCATGTCAGCTGTCGGGGGTGGCGCAGGAGTGGGTTCTTTTGTACTTGAAGCTCTTGACCTACATCTAAGCTCGTTTCGCTTAGCAAAATTGCAAAGCCCCATCGTCGCAGCTTGGCTTGTTGATACGTGGTAGCGCCTACTGTCGGAATGACAAAGGAGTAAGCTGGATACCCCAATCCGATGCAGTTGGGGAATATACCACACCGGGCTGCGTCACAGCATAATGGTGGACTCAATTCAACATCAGCAGCGCGTCATCGCCCTAGAGCAAGGAATTCGTAAGCACTGCTGCGAACAATACGAGGTAGCCACTTACACCGCCGTGTGGACACGCATACGGCATATCCTGAGCAGCGTTTGTATCGCCAGCTTGTGGATGCAACGCAATCGCGTGACGTTCCAGCAAACGTACGGGATGATCGCCGGCAGCGTGCATGAATTTTGGGAGACCGGTATGAGGCAGCTTCGTGCTATAGCGAAGCGAGAGTGCCGACGAATTGACACAAAAATACAAGGTACTCGTCTGATGCTATGTCAACGTACCATCGTCAGACAACCTCGAGATCCGTCACCGCAGGTGACATGCCCCGTACAACCACCGGACTTGACCGTGGAACCGGGCTTAGGATCTACCAGACGTCTTGCAACTACTAAAGGTTCAATAGACTTGTTTGTCTCGCTCTCTCTCTCTACTTTCACTTTTACCTCTATTGCATCAAGTGCATACGTCTACTTTCCACACTAACTACCATTAGCTCGTGCTTTTGCACCGTCCTTGTCTTTCAGCTTCAGTCATTTTCTGCTAAATCAAAATCACGATCCGTGATGGTGCCTGCACTGAGTCTTCGAGAAAGGCACAGATCCTCTAATATAGCTACTTATCACTACTAAGGTGTCTGGTTATGTGGTAACTCGTTACATCTATCATGACTCAATATTCTTACGCCTCGCTTTTTCATTCTGCTGGCTCAAGACTTCACGGCGGGGCACTCCGACAAGGGCCCGTGGACTAGTCCGTTGTGAGCGTGTTCAAAAGCGCTAAACTAATCTCATGGCGACTGGACTCCGTGCTGGTAGAGTGATACCATAAAAATTGCTTCTGCAGGTTCCGTAGCTGTTATTCTGCTCCTAGTGGCATCTCAAAGACAGCCGCTGTGAACAACACGGTTGGCAAAGGAGCAAATTCGTCTATCTCAATTAGTGGCTTTTTATAAATTCAATATTCAGTTGACGAACTGTATATTTGAATCATGAATCTGAATCATGAATTAGCCCTGGGAAAACGAATCTAAATCATGAATCAGACGTGATTCATGTAAAAACATTTGAATAGGAGGTCTAGTATAAACACTCCACGTTGCAGCACGTGCCGTGTGTACCACCTTATTCGTGGTAAGACAGAACACTTGAGGTCCGTCTCATTTTGATGCTCCCTATAATAAAAAATCAGATATTACAGCAACTGCCTCTTTGGTAAATCTAAAGAATTCTGAAGTAGGGCTGTCTACTAATATGCAAGAGAGCGTGCATACGATTTGTTTCTTCTGTACTATGAAATCGGAGGTAAACAATTCGTCGAAGTTGTAGTCTATGAGGTAAAGACCAAAATGACTTGATCCAATATTCAGGAGCTCTTTACGCGACACAAGAACTTGTCTCAGTGTCTAGATGGTTTATCAGTCACTTCCAGTATGCCCTTGGCAATTTGGTTCAAACAGAAGCCTCTTTGTGCGTCCAAACGGAAAGAAGTCGCTCCGAAGAAAAAGGGTCGCAATTGTCGAGCTTACAACGCCGAGAAGTAAATGCTAAGCACTGTACGGAATACAATCCAGGGAATTGACGTGGAAGCCCGCGCCGAAACATGTCCTATTCACACAAAAAGGCGCATATAAATTTGACCTAGGCGATGGAATGCCTTCGACCTGACGAAGGGGGAGGTAAAGACGACGACTGCTAGAACAAAACCAATACTTGAATATAAACTAGAATGATTGCCGTCGTGGACCCCGGTGACTCATCGGGGGGGATAAAGACAGTCCATATGTCCACAATAAGAAAGATCGCATGGCCTCTACGCGATTCATTTAATCTCTTTTTTGAGACATGACACTACATCTGTATATGTGCTGGGTTAGGGTAATCTTTTTCTTCTAATTGTATGGTCTAGTTGTCGTATGCCTTTACACGCATGCGATCCGGCAATCATGAGCTTAGCCAAGGATTGTATTGTATATTTGACAAAAGTTAGACATACATGAAATGTAATAATAACTTAAGAAAATCAAAGTTTTTTTTAAAGCGCGAGCGGAGGGACGTAGGGACCAAAGAAAGCAAAGCGTAGGACACTTGTGCTTAAGTTTAAAGATTGAAAAGTATTTGATTCGTCAACGCTTACTACCTACTACATGATTTATACGTGAGATCACATACAAATCATGTCTGACGTCTAATCAACCTTCTCGTTTAATCAACCCTAAATGATAACCATAAAAACTATACCGTAAACACACTTCCAAATTTCGCAACGCAGACCGCACAGCCTTGCTAGCCACGTACCAGCTGGCAGAATTGGAACATTTCGAGCACACGTCATCAGCTCACGTTCTTTACGTTTTGAGCTGCATTAACCCTCCCCCCCGTCCGACAAGCGATATGCGAGCTTGACAGAGCCGTGAGTCCCAGGGGCGGCCAGCCAAAGCGCCGGATCCAGGCGACGGCGATGGGCACAAGCAACGAGACAGGAATGACCCAAGCGACGGACAGGCGATGGTGGCCGACACGCCGCCATTACCGGACGGCGCATACTCTGCTTAATTGGAGCCCACCGCTACGATGATCGAAGCACCAGTCGCTCAGGTATCGAGTGAAGATCAGTACATAGGCGTACCAGGTCAGGAAGGTGAAGAGCAGGCAATACGACCGAAAAAAATGTTTGAGGCGGTGGTGGAAGCGATGAAGGCAGCCCCGCAGGATCCTCCGCACGATGCATGGATCGCAACAGTTGCAGAACTATATATAATTGCGCATGATACGGTGACCATAGCTGTGGCACTAGTCCCGACCGAAAAGCAACGCTTTCCGAGACTCCGTAGCGAAGAGAAAGCTATCATATTCAGGTTCTTTGAGAAGGCGTGCATTGTCAGCGACGGCTCGTTCGTGAAGTGGGAACAGTACGCGCAGACGGTGACTCATGATCTTTACAATACAAGCTGGTCGTTCAAAGATATCATTCAAAGCATAATTAGCAAGGTCAAGTTGGCGCGGGCAAAGGCACTAAACCAGTGAGCAGCCAAAGTCAAGTCAGGCACCGGATCCAAGGGAACTAGGCATGGTATTACGGCAACCCATGGCACCTACCAAGATCTCATGTTTAATACAGCGGTCTTCAGCAAGACGGATATCGAAACGCTTCACACACGCTCATCCAGCAATTGAAAGCCGCTAGAAGCGGGTGTCGGCTCCAAGAGGGCACCACGGACGAGTGAGGGTCATCAACGGAATTGCTGAAGGGCATATTGTGAGCAGAAGACTCCCAGATTTTGTAAAAAGTGTGCTCTGTTCCTAAAATCGGGTCAGGCTAATGCGAACAGTGCAACAACAAGTGGAGGGTGAACTTTTTTTAGCTTCGGAGCGTGACGGACATCCGGTGATCAGGCAGAAAACCAGCTCTATTGAGAATTATATCCTGCTGGTAGCGGAAGGAGTGAAGGTACAACATGCAGAGCTCTAGACCATGCTTAACTTTGCTAAGCACATTAACTTCAATAACGTGCAACAAAGTATCCATTCCCTTTTTTGACTGAGCGACAGCACGCAAGTATGAATTGGTGACAGATCCAAGGAGCAAGATACCACTTATCTAACATGCATCAGCCGGACACAGGGTCTGTATGGGCACGACAGCTGGGAAGGGATGGGGTGCGAATTGCCATTAATCCCGAGTACGACGTGGAATTGCACAATGTCAGCCAGATTAACGGACATCGTACGTCTCACTGCATACTTGAAGAAGCATGTTGCGGCGGAATTTGAGCTGGAAGACTTGAGCACTTGCACGACCAGCTTGTGGACCTCCAACGTCTAGAGATTTACGGTGAACATAGCAGGGTGCCCGGAATTTTTGCGAGGAATCTTGCGGATTATTTGGTACGGACGGACCATCATTTTGAAGCACGCGGACGTAGAATCACGACTCCAATGCCTACGCTGTGGCAATCTCGGCCATAAATTGGCACGGTGTCGTTATACCGACGCACAATTGCACGGGCTGGGTAGCCGAGTGGATACAGAGCAAGAGGTCACAGCACTGGAAGACTTGGCCACCCCGTTCTACAGCCTGGTGGAAATAAGACAAGTCGCGGCACAGTGCCTCCAACTTCAGCTGGAAAATGAGAAGAGCGCGCAGAAGCAGTGGCACCATCAGCGGAGCGACCGCAAGCACCGACGACGCATTGACGGGATCCGCAGTAGTATTCATATTGTCCTGTAAGAGACACCGACCAGCCCATGCAGGAGAATTACAGCGTGGAACCTGTACCAACTAACCAATGGGTCACGACCCCCAATAAATTCCGAAAAATTAACAAGAAGCCGGAGGTATTCCATTAACAACCTCCGGGTATATCCTTCAGGTTCGTGGACCTAGCAGATGGACAGGAGGACGAGGTGGACGATGCACAAGCTACACCTTCCAACCATGACGGGTCAGCTTCCACCCACTTAGCTTCTGACACCTGGAGAATCACGAACGACCCAAGACATTTGAGACGGAAAAGGCAAAACTGCACCTGGTGCCAGCGAACCGCCAAAACTTCTTCCGAACCCGAAGCTCGTTACCCTTAAGCAACGAGAACGAGCGGCAATGAGCCAGACAGTCAAAACAATTGACAATTATAGGGGAGTTTAGCTGCCCATGGCACCATTGGACCGAAATTGCGCAAAGGACTTTCCCGGTACTGAATAGGCACTAGTTATTCGGCCTGTCACCACCCCATCTTCTGGGAATTGTATGGCGATGGCATTAGCGAAAGAGATTACAGAACGCAAACTATCAGCACATGATGTTAGCCTCGAGGCTATCACTTCAAGTATTACACGAGGCATCCGATGATCGGGTCATCTGCTTTTTTAAAGCAGTTCGATCATTACGTCCGGAAAGCAACACTAATCAATGTGCAAAGGGGGTAGGAGGAATGAATGCCCATATAATTAAGAAACAATTTAATGGTACCTCGAAGAATACGCGGTCACACCCTCCGGTCGCCAAGATTGCATTTCGCGTTGGAATTGGGGGGGGGGAGCGAGCTCATGGCGATAGTAGCGAACTTCTTTCAACATGACATTTTCGTACTCGCGCACAATACGGACGGTCAGCAAAATTGCATTGCTTGCTCTTCACCACCACGCGTGAAAAAAAATGTACGAAACCGACCATCAAGTTCCTATGCAACTGGACCAATACATTGCAGCGATCAGGCAGGCAAAACAAAAAGGATCTAAGCGACCACTCGTGCTGAGGTTCTGGGAAGAGCACCACTCGTATAAAACTCAGCATCGGAGGTGCTATTGCTGCAGTCGTGGCATCAAGTACCTGTGCATCCAAAGATATCATTACCGTCGATCCCGCCTTCCTATACACTACTCGGCATTCGTTCACATGGGACCGTCGCCTATCCGCTAAATGGAGACGACAGAGGAGAAAAAGAGGATATAGACGTGTTGATGACTACAGAAAAAGGTTAAAGTGCAAGGCAACAACGGTGTGGGGAGCATCAGCTCGCCTGAGGCATGGAGCTTAAGTCATTGGAACGAGGATGCAGCAGCGTTACGTGATCGCTTGGCAGGTATGCTTATTTCTGACGATGTGCATCGACATATTTCGCATGATATAAGATGAGCCCGAACCGGCCAAATTTGCCGAACTACTAGCATTTCTAATTTGCTCAGCATCATAGCTCTCATACGAGGGGGTAGACTGTGTGCTTCAGGTGAAAATAGATGACTACAGCAACATGGACACATTCAGCTGCTTAACCTTTTTCAGCTATCACGGAGGCATTGCTACAGTGGAAATCAGTGGCTTAAAAGAAGAGAAAAACGACCAGGAGCAGCAGCTGGTTTTGATGTCTGACTTGGATACTCGAAATTCCTCTGCTTTAGCACCCAGCGTCCGCAGCTTCCAGCTCGCTGGATGTCCCCAGCCACCAGTAAGTTAAAATCGAGCACACTCGACAACGCCAGCATAAGGGGGACAGATCTGGCAAATCATGCGGACTAAGTCGCAGCAGGAGTTGCCAGAAGGGGCGACAGCCATGCAGGACGCTGGTTCCCCTGCACTGACTGCATATCTTCTTGATACACGCGACTCATAGCCGAAACTTTGGGAGAAGCAAGGGGCATCCTGGAGTGCTTCAGCGCGAGCAGTGTTACTGCTTGGAAGAAGCACTACCGAGGTATGGATGCAGCCGGCGCAGCGGGATTCGACAAAAGTAACTCAAATGGTGCAGAAGTTTCCATTTCCGGAAGAGCTCTTGGGTTCGTTGAGTGACACGGTGTTACAAGCATGTTAGGTCTTATGGAGGCGCATATGCATACAGAGGCGGCTAACAGCTTACCGTGGCAGGACGAAGGATAAATGTACGCAGAAATGGCTGGATGCCTGGACTGCTAAGTTCACACTCTTAGCCCCGCATATGTTTACCATCTCTCTCCTTGATTACAATGATGATTGGAAACAAATGCGCAACTGTGGCTACGGTAGCGAAACCGTCCTAAATTGTGTGACGTGGGGCAACAAACTCCGATTGGCACAACACATCATATGTACGGTCATCTTCGAGAAGATGATTCGAGTTTTTACCGTGCATGAGTAAAGTGACGAATCGGGAGTGCTATCCCGTTTACAGAGGTATTTCGAAGTGCTAAAGACGATCATTCCCTATCGCGAAGCGTATGAAGTCACTAAAAGCACTGTGGAATGGTTCGCGGTGGCGCAATTCGTCTTATCGGCATTCGAGCACCGCGTGGAGCAGCGGCTTCGCATGTACTAAGGGCACCAAGGCTCAGACAGCTGGAGCTCCGGGATGGTCAAGTAGCACAACGACATGGGATGCATACGGTAGATACAAACAATTTAAGCTTGCACGAAGTGCAGGGGTGGGGACACAGCTTACGCGATGCACCGTGGGGGGCAGGACGATAGATATCCAAAATCTCAGAGGCTTTAGGATAGACACTTGAGCGACTTGTGTCTCAGCTTAGAGGCAAACACCAAAAGCTGACCGACCGTTGGCCTGGCGCACCCCATTATTTTGACGATGTATTCGCTCAAAGTATGGCCGAGGACGGAATGAGCGAAATTGAACTGCACAAGCCTCATTTAATTGCTGTGTTGCAGACTTTGAGTGGCGTCTTATTCTTCTTTAACTTGCAACGTGCGTCGTAGGGGTCCTCGAGATACCTGTGCCGGTCTGCAAAGTGGGTGAACATGGTGTAAGAGCAGACTTAGAAAAGTTAAAGGCTGTCAAGGAATGGCCAGTTCCACGACATATGAAGAATCTGCGCCAATTCCTTGGGCTCGATAGTTACTTGCACAAGCACAGCAAGAATTGTGCGGATAAAACCAATTTATTGTCTGACCGTTTAAAAAAAGATGCAGCATGGACTTGGTCAAAGGAGCAAGTAGATGCGCTCACATCATTGAAGTAATCTCTTGTAGAGGCACCGGTCTTGGCATTGCCAGACGCGAATAAGCCATTTAGCGTCGTCTGCGATGCAAGCACTTTTGCAATCGGCACCGCGCCCATGCAGAAGGATGACAGAGGCGTTCACCGTGTCATTTTGTATCAGCCTCGGCTTTTAAAAGCTGCAGAACTGAATTACCCTGTGTATGACAAGGAGATACTTTCCATTAAGTATGCTCTTGTCAAGTTTCGTGTGCACCTCTCGAGCACCAGACCTTACGTGGTTTATACTGATCACGCATCTCTGCGAACCGCTATAAATTCACCGCACCTCTTGCCGAGAATGGCGAGATGGCTAACATTCTTCTCTGAATTTAATTTCAAAGGTGAATATAAGCTGGGTAAGTCGAATGTCATGGCTGACGCGTTATCGCGCAGACCATACTTCGAGACAAGACACCAGGAAGTGTGTCTCGTGCGAAAGCACAAGTTAAGTCGTCAACATTGGCAGTCATAGAGGTCTACCATGTGACGAGCTCAATGGCCTCCGATATAAAGGATTTCTACAGTCAGGACGAATATTGTCACCTGCTATTAATCAAATTAGTGGGCGAAAGGTTACCCTTCCGTCGCACCTGAAAGCGAAACTAAATCGCTTTAGTTACAGTGATGGCCTATTATGGCATCAGCCATCTTGTGATCCCTTGAGAATATATGCCCCTTATGACACAGATCTCAAGCTGATGATACTTCACGAGTGCCATTATGCGCCATCTAGTGATCATCTGGGCCGTAAAACAATATTTTTGCGAGTGTCAGAGAATTTCGGTGTCCCCATCTATATCGATGGGTGGCCGGCTATATTCGCTCTTGTAAAGAGTGTAAGTGCCTTCTAACAGTGCGCCATTGAAACCACTACCAACTCCAACAAATTTTTGGAAGTCGGTCAGTTTATACTTCATGTTTGGCTTAACGCCTGAACATAAAGGCAGGACGAGACCGTTGTCTTTGTAGACAGACTAAGCAAGATAAAACACTTAGCACCATGTAGCACAAAGATATCAGGTAAATAGGCTGTTCTCTGTTTATGAATCATGTGTGTTGAATACACGAGATATCTGAGTTTATATTGTTGGACCGGGACCCGTGATTAACGTCGAGTTTTTGTCGACATGTGTTTTAGTTACTAGGAAGCAAGCTGCACTTCCCAGACCGGTGTCCAGACGAAACGAGCCAATTGAGTCTTGGCGGATGTATTGCGCACAGTAGCGACTCCTCATTGAATGGAGCAAGCAACTTCCCTTCGCGGAGTTCGCTATTAAATACACTGTTCATGCCAGTACGGGTGCAACACCGTTTTATATAAACGGACTTCGTCCTCCTCGGTCGCCAGTCTCATTTTTGCTCATCCCTAGTCTTAGTGGGGGAGGGATTATCACTTCGCTTGTTGTAAATGCCAAAGAGAGCCAAGGTTGCCCTAGTGACACTTCTAATTTAGCAGTGGTCACGACACCTATAGGTGTCAATTAGGAGGCACGGCAAGAAATGCCTGCGGTTCTTTACAATAAGACTATAGCGTTATTAGCAGCGTCGAACCATGCCCGAACTCTTGGAGAGTTATAGGCTAGATAGATGCGAAAAGCGTGAGCAACGCTCAGCACTTCGAGGATGAGCGATTAGCCATCCCATGTAAAGTCCGTGACGCGATGTCAAGCACACTGGCCAAGCAAAAACAATATGCTGAACAACATTGTCGCAAAAACAATGAACACTTTAGAGTTGGAGACAACGTGCTATCAAGTACTGCTACGCTACCTAAAAGTGCAATTTCTGTATTACCTGGTGGCACTACTAAGCTATTGCCCCAATTTATTAGGCCATTTACTAGGTTGAAAGCCTAAAGTATAGGCTTTCCGTCCCACCGTATATGAAGAAGCACTTCGTATTATACGGGTTAAACTAGAACGGTATACGGATCAACAAGAGATAACATATCCGCATCATTCTAGCGAGACCGATGTTTTCGTCGACTGTGAGTCGAGCGTCGGTTCCGGTGAGGCGATGGGGAAGGCGAAAATCTTCCCGTCGACGATCGAGAGCTCGTAAAAGGGCTTGGCGAGCGAGGAATAATCTGCGTTTGACGCGGGTCTCTCATTAAAAAAGCATGAGATGGTCTAGACGAAGCTTTAGGTGGGAGTAACCCTGACGGTCTCTCGCCGTCGCATCTTGGACTTCAGAATTCGGTCGCGAAACCTGACTCTCGAGATTTAAAACCCGCCGATTCACAGCAGCACTCTGTGCCTGCGTCTGAACGAAGGCAAAATAAGTAGACGCGAATAGGTTGGCGTAATCGCCGCTCCTATCGGGCACTACCTGCGTTGGTGGATACGAGTGGAACACTCGCTTTATTGCTGAAAAGATGTTGGTCCACCGCTATGTGAAGCACAAGCTTTAAATCCTTGTCCAGTAAGAGTAATACCGAAGCGTTTCGACTCTTGGATACATGTTAACGCGTTGCGCGCCAGCTTTCGTGAGCTGGTGTCTGCTTGGAATCAGAAGCACCAGCTGCAACCACTTTGTTAGGTTCTGATGAACCAGCAAGAACAGCGTGGCGAGAAGAATTAGCGCTAAAATACCACCCAATATATCTTTCGATCACGTCATGGCGAAGTTAATTCGCTGCATTTGCATCCGGCTCATACGGCACTGAAATCTGCTTCGTTTTCATAGGTTGCTTCTTGCAAACGCAACACAATGAGAATGGTGGAAATGCATCCAAGCATTTTCCCCTGTTGCTTACAAGATGGAAGGACGCTAAAGAAGTTACTAGCGTCGATAGTAGGGCGACACACTACTCCCATCCGACCTTGGCCACTCTGATGGCGGTGGCATTGGCAAAATGATACCAGTCACCTATCCGCCTTCGCGGCGGCGAGCTAGTGATATCTGTCGGTTAGCTGCTGTACCCTTAGAGGCAAAGCGCTCAATCATAGTCGCTGCGCTTGCTGGCGCAGTAGACTAGGCATGATTCTCACTGTCAGGAATCATGGAAGCTTCCTCAAGGTTGGGCGCCTTAATGGGAGGGGACATTTGCCTTACTAACGCACTGTACTCATCACCACTATGTGTCGATGGCAGTGGCACAGCTTTCATTTGAAGTCAACAATGAGCGACGGATCTTCATTTACACTTTGTAAGTGGGATGGACCGTTGTGCTTTGTTGACGGCCCTACATAAGATGTCGACGTTGCAACAGACTCACTGATCTACGGCGGCGAATTCTTGCGGCGCATACGCTTTGTGCTTGTTTCGATGGGCGCCTTTGCAGGCGACCCATCATCTCGGCCCCGATTCAGTGGCATGTGTAAGAAATGGTTACGAGTGAACAAAGCGGCACGTCTAAAACGACTCGCCGTTTCTCTGACTTCCTTTGCGATGTTTCACACAAATGTATGAGGGGGGTGACATTACACGTACCCGTTAAGTATGCGATACTTAACGATCAGGTCTGATAAGGTACGTTGGTGTCGCTTGGGTAAAACACACCATGTGACAGACCTTTGTGTATGTGATATACACTAGGTATAGTCACATTGATTGAGATGACGCCCAGCTGGGACTAGGCTTCATCACATGACGTCAGTTAGTTACGCCATTTTACGTCATTAAGCGAGCTTAAGTATCTTAAAGCTCGCACATAGGGATATGCATCTAAAGAGATGGCATCCGATCATTACATATTAATCAATCGTCTGTTAGATTTATATTTAGTTATCGCGATTAAATGTAAACCTGTCTTGATCTACTACATTATTGTTACTGCAGGCAGTAAGACTGGAAACAGCTTTTGTTGGAAAGTAAGAAAGCATGACAAAATGAATTTACTTACGGACGCGCGCCAGGCGCATTTCGGCCCGTTGCCGCGGGCCTTATCAGTGGCTTACCGATCGCAAGTGATCCTCGTCCATGCAGCCGCCATTGCCGCTGCCACACGTTTACCTATGCATCGAACATTCTAGAACTATCGAGTAATAGACTATTCTAAAAGTACCTAGCAGACTTCACCGGCGTACATCTACGGCTCGATACGAAGTTCCTCTTTCCAACGGCTTCCGCGACGCAGATAGGTACTTGTTCTAAAGGTCGTTACGCGGTTCGCTTAGGCGACCGACAACAGTTGTATGCGGACGCTTCGGCGCCGACCCACTACCACACACGGAGGTAAGACGATTTAATCGCTTCCTTGCTTGTGCTTGAAGGTATCTGCCAGTAGGACGTGGCAGCTTATTCAGCTCTTGCCTACATACGTAGCTCCGCTACAATCTCTGCAGCTTGCAACATTGTGACCCTAGCATAATTATCGTCGATCTTGATCATCGCGTGGTATCCTCTCGGGAGAATACCTAGTAAGACAACGAGTGGTCGCTGCTCATAAATTGGGTCGCCAGCAGAAGCTTGGCCGTGCATAAGTGTTTGAATCGTGCAAGGTTTACCAAGTAAATTCCCACTATTGGCTAGCTTGAACTCAGTTTTCTTCTGGTTCAGCGCGACGCGGTTGTGGATCGTTCGTCAATACAAGAACCCCTCGAGCACCTCCCTCATTCCACGTGCAGACATTTCGTCCCGAATTATTGCTTGGTAGTTAACGCTGACCGACTTTGCAATTGTCGCCTGGACCTTCGTGTCAGCAGTCCTCCACGCAAGGCTTTTCCGGCTGATTGGTTGTCCGTACTCATTAATGACTGCGTCTTGCTTGAACAGCACATTGTCAAGCAGACCCTTCTTCGCTGACACCATGCGGACATTATACTCCCAATGGAAATTAATTTCTTTCGTGAGCAAGTCGTCGGAGCGGCATTGTTTGGGCTCATAACCTGAAGAATTGTATGACGACCGCTGTCGTTTTTCAGGCGAGGCCTATTGTGTTGTTAGTCGACGTTCGAGGTGAAGGAAAATACGAAAGTGACATTCATGAGTGTATACGCTAGGTAGTATTCTTCTGCTACATTTAACCTGGTAAAAACCACTTGGTCGGCTGTTGAGCACGTGTTGCTGAAAGACGAAGTATGTGGTAATCTAAAAGCCAAGGATGTGGAAGACGGTGAGACCAGACGGTGTACGAAGGGCCGTGGCTAAAGATGTGCAAATGTTGCGCAGAAGGTGTAGTTGCTGAAGCTTCGAACTATAAATGTTCAGACGTGACCTGCCCGTATGATTAAGTCAGCTCAAAACTTCAAGAAAAAGATATGAATGCTATATCATCGTTTCTTCGTCCTGAGCATGTTCATGGCTTATTTTTGGCATGTATTCATATGTCAAGCCTCAACTCCAATCTAATGAATTAGTATGCTGCCACGGCTTACATGTAACGTCAACTAAAAAGCTGCAGTGGTTATATATGTATATCAAAGCGTCATAGTGATATTTTTGAGCGATTTGGGATTACCGGATGGTGGTTCGCTGTCAGCCAAGTTGTATGTTTTGTGAGCTTATAACTTGCTTTGACTACCTACACGCGTGTAGATAGTACATCGCCCTATCGGTCACAGGAGGACAGGTAAGTTTCAATTGTAAGTACAAATATCCCAATAACGGCTCCATCACTTTGTCACTAAGATGAATCTTTTGCAATTGGTGTTCCATCGACGATAACGCAACGGGTTTGAGCTGCCCACAAAGAAGCTGCTCTTGCAACTCAGTCGGCTGTTCGTTCAAATTGTTTATGTCTGCCAAGTATTTCATGTGGTTGAAACATTCGGTAGTAACTTCAGCATTAGTTCACGTCGTGGATTGGCTTGTCACCGATCTTCTACATCCATACGACACAGAATTCTGTGCTAGACAGCGGAACAGGGATAGCCAACATCTGTCCGTCAAAATATTTTTGAAACACCCTTTCGTGTTTCAGTGGCAGTACATCCTGTCGTAACTCGCAGTCGTAACTAAGATTATCGTTCAGGAGCCCAGCTATGGCATCCTGATGGCGTTGAAACTAGCTGTTACTTTAAATCTTCAGGCTATCAAGGTGACTCAACAGAAGTCCTTCTGCTACAGGCATACAGCCGATCGGCACAGCCAACTCATTCTACATTAATCGCACACAAGCCCCATCACGTTTCAATTTGAGCGTTCTCCTTGTCGACAACATTATGACTCGACTTCGAATAGCGTTAGCTGTGCTCATTGCTTTCATTGATTTCACAACTACGGAAAGTATTGACTTTGACTGGAACTTTTTGAACCACGATGATGATTCCGTACCCGATTCATCCGCCAAACTAACCGAGCCCCCGGCTTCATCAAGTAGTTCGTTACATGACGAAACAAGTTCCTCAGCCGACATCCACGCGAAATCTGCTGCTGCCATAAGTACTATCAAATCAACCTATCGCAACTGGGTGGGTCCCTGGAAGATGTCGCCGGATACCGCGTGCTACCGCCAAGCTCATATAATGAACGTTTGCCCCGATAACTTTGATCGAAACGAGATAACAAACACGTGTTGGGCGGAATGCCCGGTAGAGTATCCCGTCGAGTGCGGCATGGAATGCATCCGACAAAATGATGACTGCGGAATTGAAGTGACTAGCAAAGTCTCAGCCGTAGCTATGACAGTTTTCAGCAGTGCAACATTTGGTGTGTTTGGCGAGTTAGCAAAGCTAGGTAAGACGATTTCAAGAGCTGTCCGTTGCACCAATTCGATGATGCTGGTGATGAGAGGAATTCTCCGATACATCCGCACCATGAAGGCAGAAGATCCGCAAGCTTCGGATCGAAAGATGCTCATTTTGCTGTACCAGACGAGCACTGTCGTCACGGACTTGCCAATTGCCATTACCGTTTGCATGGGAAAACCAGTGCCATCAAATCTTCGAATGTCACAGTATGTATTGTCTACGGCGCAGTGGGTGTTAATGCAAGCCCTTGCTAATAACGCTAGTATCATTTCAAATTGGCAACACTTCAAGGCTTTCCTCACGGGAGCCAACTTTACTGAAGCTGCAGTAGAAATTACAGAGGGAGAGATCTCATCGCTTGAGACAGCAATGAAGCAGAACTCAAGCTGTGGAGGCGATCTCATGTCCTTGACTGGACGAGTCTGGTTGACTGTGAACGGGTACAGGGAAGACGTCCCCGGCATCACGGACGATGAAATTCGACTAAAGATTAGTGACTCAAACCTTGTCAAGTACGATGTGCCCACGGTGACCAACAACTGCATGCAGCAAATGGTTTCTGAATCGAATGTGGCGACTGCCTACACAACTCGTGAAACCTTACGCAAAACCTTCGGTGTTATTATCAACGACCTGATAAAGTCCGGGAAAAGCGACAATGGGACTTCTTTGGAAGAGAAAGAACGAGCATTCAGGACAATTGACATGGGATTCTCCACTCTCGCTGCAACGTTAATGGACCCCACGCGCATCACGTTGCTGTTATCAGAGTTTATCCAGACGATTTGTGGCCCAACCCAGTTCATGGGCGAGATCGATGACGGCACGGAAGCTGCCACACTGGGCTTGAATACACTGGAGGATGCCTTCAAAGGCAGCAGCAGCTCTTGGACCAAGAAGGGAGACGGCGTTGTCATTATCAACTTCACAAGCACAGACGAAAAAGACGTGAGCGTGAATATCATGTCTGGTGGAGACAAAGTTGATGAGGTGGCTGTCAATGCTGGGGAAACTGTCCAGTGGAAGTCGAGCATTCAAGTATTAGGGGGCAAGACATTGTATCTTGACCGTTGGCGTCCAGGATTTCTAGGTCTTCCTGGTAAAGGAGGTGGCTCTCTTGTTCTTTGGGTCCCGAAAGGATCTCAGGGTGGTCATCTAGAGATTGATGCGAAACTCAATGTAAGCTAGATAAACATGTTAAAGGAGTCGTATTCGTGTTATACCCTACAACAAATATAAGTTAGTTCATCAATGGGCCTATTCCTGACTTCCTGATCCACTCCAACCGACGAGGTCAACACATACTTGACAAGCAGCACTTCTGGCTTTGCTTTCGATTTCGTTAGCGCAAAAAGCGCATCTAGAGTCAAGTCATCCTTTGAGATTACTGTCGCTGAAGCCCGTGTGATGACCATGACGCCATTCAATCGATTGGTCACGACATTTGAGTCATTTTGTTTTGCAGTGATCGTGCGTGTACTCAACTGTATTTTATCGTCGCGCTGGGCTTGAACAAGACTTTCACTTCCATCGAGCTATTGGCGGGTTGATACTTACGCTCGTTCTATGATGTACTACGATAAACTAATGCCACTAAGACCCTTCTTGTTCAGCAAGGATACATCCAGCGATTTCAACCAGCCCTTCAAGACTTAAGCCGTAAGTTGTGGTACATTTCGACCTGAACGCCCAAGTGTGGAGCTGCTCATGCAAGCTGTCATCACGTTCTTTGCTCCGTGACCAACATACGCAGTTTCAGTCGCCCATGAAGCTGCTAAGCACTGTACATTTCTAGTGAAAGTACACCACCCATATGTGACGTCGGTCTTTAACAATGAGACTTCATTGTCACATCAAGACTGGAACTTTTGCCGTAGAACCGAAGACCATCGTATCTTTCAGTGCTTCTACTTCAAACTCGATTGAGAGGCTGGTGCTTCGCTCGAGCTGGACCAGCAGAATCAAAAAATGCCCGTAATGGCATGGGCAGCATCGTAAGTTAAATGGTTCGTCGAGTAGCTGAGGTAGATGCTATGAAGGACAAGAGGTGTTTGTCCTCAAACGAGAGTGTCAGGGCCGACTTTGCTGAATTGCGGATGATGGTGTTTGTCTTCTTACGCGGTGACAATTGCAAATACATCGCTCTATTCACACAACAATTGCGCTCTTTGGTAGCTTGACAGCTCACAGTACCAGTGCTGAAGACCCCTGCTGCACGAATACGCTAAGTCTATTGTAGCTGTTTGACACGGGCAGGTCATCTTATTCATTAATCGGACAGGTAGCAAGTTCGACTCCCTACCGTTCTTGGCAAAAACACTGTCTATGCAAGTGTTTGTCAAGCAGCACATACGATAATCCTCTACCGTGTCCGCCGGCGATTGATATGCTGCTAGCGCATTAAAAGACAGTGCATATCAAGGCATTCCATTCCTCAATGAAGCGAGAAGCTGCTAGATATCACGTGGTTTTTCATTAGTGATACGCTTGACAAGTTGATGTCTTTATGACTTACACTGAGCTTTAGAAAAGTCGCTGGAGCTCATGCAATGCAGCTAGACTCTTTTGCGTTGCGTTCAGGTCAGTTTGCAGTTGTGTGAGGCGCTGTGCATCTTGGGTTTGCACGGGCTTTGGTACCTTGACGGCGTAGTGTGGTCCCTGCTGACGGTTCATGAGGGCTTTAGCAGCAGAGGCACTCTTCGACCTACGTTTCTCTAGACGCGCGATTTCATTAGCCACACGCTGCGTCGTCTCCGTGTCGTCCGGGACAGCTAGCATTACTACAACACCATAAGTTGTGTTACACTTACTCATGTGAACATAATAATGAAGCTGGAACGAACCTCGGCAAGAATTCGACACAGAGTGCGTAAGCACGAGAGGGGACGCCAGCGGCGAGAAAGAATCGCCGTCGCTAACAGCAATGTCGACATTCACACGGCATTGTGTCTCGACGTCACGCTGTGCATCCTTTAGCTCGGAAAGTACAGTTGTATTGGAGCACACGATGCCAACAGTAGGAATATCGCTATATGACACATGAAGACGACCGATCGGTTAGTACAACCACGTCTGCATTTAGATGTTGCTTGGAAACTTGAAAAAAGCACACCTGTCACCCGAGGGAGACGCATTTGGAGCCAAAACTTTCACGGTGTGGCGTAGCGAGCGAATTCCATGGATCACGTCGATGACAAGCTAAACGAAGGCACTACAGATCAGATATGTCACTTAAGAAACTGCTGGGCAATGACGTACCGTCATCTTCTCTTCAGCATCTGCATCGATCCACGAACGCATGTGTGACTCTTCTGGATACTCAGAGCACAAGATGGAGGTCTCAACATCCTGCTTGCACAAAGACGTAGTAAGTGGGTCGCTATCCCGAATACGCTGCCACAACTCTTCCGTAACGAATGGCGTAAAAGGATGCAGTAGACGCATCGAGTAGTCTAGGCATCGGTGAAGTGTTGCTTGAGCACTGCGTTTTCGCGCACGTTGTTCTTGTTTAGAACTCGCATCTTCATCGAAGCGGTTTCCATACAGTACTGGCTTACTGAACTCGATGTACACGTCACATAACTCCTGCACGAAAAATTTCTGGATAGCGGCGACGCTCGTTGCAAGCTGATTTGCACTGATTCCATCATTCACCTCCGATACGACTGCAGCCTACACAAATTTATGGTCAGTCACACCTGGTTCTGCGTATAACAACTTGACATGACCAAGCTTACCAGCCGACTCATGATCCAACGATCTGCTAGAGTCATATCGTCACGCAAAAGGGAAAGGTCCGTCGATGTGTTCGCATCCTTTGCATCGTCATTGTCGGTTGTGTCCAACAAAGGTAGAGCGTAGCGTACTGCATTCCACACTTTATTGCAAAAGTGACGATATGACACGACACGCTGCACGTCCATGTTAATCTGTCGGCCTTGCTGAAGATACGAGGCCAATGTGAAGCGCAATGCGTCGGCACCACAAGTAGGGATACCCTTCGGAAACTCTTTCTTTAACTCCTTTTCCGCTTTTTTTACTTCGCGCAGCCCGACGTTGCCACCCTTATCAATTTTCCAGCACAGTTAGACTTTAAAACACGATTTACACTGAAAGTTTTCAGAGTACTTGGTAAGATTACCTGCAAGTCCAAGAGTAGCTGATCAAGACTGATACCATTTATTACATGCAGCGGGTCGATCACATTACCCAAGCTCTTTGACATCTTCCGGCCAGCCTTGTCACGCACCATCGGGTGCAACAGCACTCTTTGGAATGGTACATGCCCAGAAAACTACAACCAAAGACATGTCAGCACAGTGACAACAGGTTCGAGTTATATAATATTTTCTCACCTCTTGACATAACATTGCCATACGCGCTACCCAAAAAAATAAAATATCAGAGCCAGTCTCCATTAAATCCAACGGGTAGCTAGAGCTCAGATCCTGCGCGACTACTTCATCATTGCCAGTGTTAGGCCATCCCTGTCAATGCACAAATGATAAAACTCTTAGATCACGCTTCTAGAGATCGGCCACTACGACTACTTACAAAAGCCGACAATGGAAGTAAACCCGAGCTGAACCAAGTATCAAGCACATCCACATCTTGCTCCAGATCTGCGTCCTGCAGCTTGCACCCTAGTTCAACTTCAGCTTTCTGTCGAGCCTCTCCCACAGATGCTGCAACGAACCACTTATCGCTCCCTTCAGAAGCACCAGTGACTCCAGCTTTCAAACGATACGCCGGGATGCGGTGACCCCACCAGAGCTGGCGGCTAACACACCAATCTTGGATGTTGTCCAAAAAGAAAAACCATGTATGTTGGTGCGACTTCGGCTCGATAGACATTTTGCCGATGCGAACGTTATCAGCTGAGCGTTGAGCCATGGCGCGACAATCGACGTACCATTGCGGCATAAGCAGCGGCTCGGTGATGTCCCCTGAGCGTGAGCAGATTGATAGTGCAGTCGGGTGATCAAACTGTAGCGTTATACACCGGCACTACTTAGAAACTACATAGATTATCGGCACAAAGACATCGCAACGCACCTTGTCCACATAGAGGCCCATTTGCTGCAACTCTTCGACAACACGTTGGCGTGCATCAAACCTATCCATCCCAACAAATCGCTGGTCGATGTTGCCGCATAACTTTCCATCTTTGTCAACTACCTCAATTTCAGGCAGACCGTGGCGACGGCCACACTCAAAGTCCTTAGGGTCGTGCGCTGGAGTAACCTTTACAACACCTACGCATCAAAAGTGGCAGTACAAATGTGATGTCAGTTTCAGATATGCTTCATACATTACCCAAAACAATTTGAGCAAGAGCTAAGACCATACCGGTACCCAACTCCATATTGACCAGCACATCGTCCGTGACGATCGGAATACGTTCACGCGAAAACGGATGAATCACATACTTTCCGTGGAATTGTGTATACCTCATGTCATTTGGGTGCACCGCGACCGCGACATCCCCGAAAATCGTTTCGGGTCTTGTCGTATCGATTTCCAAGAACTCGTCCGAGTCTGCAACTCGATACCGAATTCGATGCATAACACCAAATTCCACCAATTTTTCTCTTCCAGGCAACATTTTTGTCGTCGCTTTTTCAATTTGTTCAGTATCCACTTCAATATCTGAAAGTGCCGTCTGTAACGTCGGACACCAATTCACCATTCTTCTCCGTCTATAGATCAGTCCTTTTTCATATAATTTGACAAAAGCAGTCACCACGGCTTCGGATCGTTTTTTATCCAGTGTAAAAAACGGCTGCGTTTTTTTTACGATGGCGCCTAAATGGTCAATTTGGCTCATAATTTTGCCTCCATATTGGTCATTATAATGCCATATTTCTTTCACAAAAGCTTCTCGTCCTAAATCATAGCGAGATACATTTTGCTCCTTCTTCAGCTTTCTCTCCACGACACTTTGAGTAGCAATACCGGCATGATCCAGTCCAGGAATCCAATGAACATCAAAGCCTCGCATGCAATGCCATCGAGCAATTGCATCTTGTATCGTAATGGTTAATGCATGGCCAATGTGAAGAGCTCCAGTGACATTGGGTGGTGGCAATAGCATTGTAAACACCTTATTTTTAGCATTGCTCTTTATCTGTGGTTTTGATTCCAATACTTGTTGCCAATAATTTTGCCATCCTTGCTCTACAACTGTAGGATCGTAAGTAGGAGCCAAAGGTAATAGCTTTACACGTTGATGGAGCTCGCTAGACAATGAAATAGAAGAAGTTGAAGACATTGATAGAACCGCAGAAGAACGTACGTTTAAATGCGCTATCATATCGCGAGAAAAACCATTTGTAGAGCGCACTATACGCCTTACAACAAGACGCTGGACGTATCCACGCCGTGCTAACATTATTTTGATGGCCATAAAGTTGCAGCTAAAATGTAGCTTGATTTCAACCAATCACAGATTAGTTTGTAAATTGGTGTATCCCACGTATGATACTGTGGTCCACCTGTTATCCATTCCTTTCTTTTTTAGCCAATAAGAAGTCATTCTTTGAATGTCGGTGTTAGTAGAGACCACGCTCGGAGCGCTAGTGCTGGACCTGTATGTGGACGATTGTCCATTGGCGTGTACGAATTTCCTAAAATTATGCAAGACAAAATACTATCATGGCTGTTTATTCTTTAATGTTCAAGAGAATTTTATGGTTCAGACAGGAGATCCAACGGCTACGGGGAATGGTGGCGATTCGATTTATGGCCAATTATATGGAGCCCAAGCCCGATTTTTTGAAGACGAATTGCCGCAGCCAATCAGACGGTCTCATGAAGACCGCAGGGGCCTCTTAGGAATGGCGTCTGGTTTGGCCAATCAGAATGGATCACAAGTATACCTAACCACAAGAGCCGACGATATGGCATATTTAGATGAGCAGCATACGATTTTTGGTGAAGTGGCCGAAGGAATGGATGTTTTAGACCAGATTAATGCTTTATATGTGGATAAAGACTATCGACCATATCAAGATGTACGAATTAAACACACGTACGTGTTGGACGATCCATTTCCAGATCCAAAAGGACTGGAGGAGCTTATTCCTCCATCGTCACCGACTCGAGAAAGACCAGCGCAAGAGCAGGTTGAACCAAGACTTGCAGCGGATGAGAAATTGGACGACAATGAAGGTAGGACGGAACAAGAGATTGAGAAGGCGGTCCGGGAGAAAGAAGCCAAGTCACGTGCTGTGGTGCTCGAGATGATTGGCGACCTGCCAGATGCAGACGTGAAACCACCGGAAGAAGTGCTGTTTGTGTGCAAGCTGAACCCCGTGACGGAAAGTGCGGATCTGGATATGGCTTTTTGTCGATTTGGAACGTGCAAGTCCGAAGTAATTCGAGACCAAAAGACGGGCGATTCCTTGTGTTTTGCATTTGTGGAATTTACAGACCGGCGACATTGTGAAGAGGCGTATTTCAAAATGAATAATGTTCTACTGGATGACCGTCGCATCAAGGTGGACTTTAGTCAGTCGGTTTCGAAGTTGTGGAATAAGGTCAAACGACGACCGTGGGAGAAGACGAGCAAGCGTGATGGTGACGCGGTTGCTAGTGACAGGAAAGGAGGCGGCCGTGGTGGCAAATATGGCGGTGGTAGACGTCTTGAGCTCGGTGGTAATTTGAGGTTGAAGTCGCGTGGTGCCGACAATTTCAAGCTTGTGGAAGAAGAAGAAGTCGCATCTTCTTTGCGTCGATCGAAACCAGCTTCTGTCCGCCAGCAAAGTCGTAGTCCTGACAGACGGCAATCGTCACGAAGCGAAAGGGACTCGGCGCGATCACAGCGGGAAAGGAGCCGGAATTGTGAGCGACAAAGTGATCGACATCATAGCTCGGGCCGCGAACGACACGATCGACGACATCAAAGCCGTAGTCGGGACCGAGTGAGACGGAATCGAAGTCGCAGTCCTAGCAGAAGTCGCAAGCGCAAACAGAGCAGTGGTCACGATTATCGTTCTCGTCGGTAACGCGGCTTTGGAAAAGTTGCCTATAAAGACACGGATCGTGCTTGTCACAACAGCCACGGCACGCAATTTTGCGCTTTTTGCTGACTGTAACACAGTAATGAATGTGTGTCTTTGCTTAACAGCTATAATCCTCTTTTCTTCTCATTTGGTACTTTTTATCGCGTAACACATTGATTCGCGTATGGTTTTTATGCGTGTGGTAATCATTTGGGTTGACAAATGAGAAGAGAAGAGAAGAACAGACCGTCTATTTCAAACATTAAGGATTGGTAAGATGTCTGGAGTGCTTCTACCAGGACTTCGTCATTCTTCGCCTCGCTGGCTCAATCTGCTGGCTCGAGACGTCGGGCGTCACGGGGGACACTCCGAAAAGGGCACGTGGAATCGGGTATCCAGCCCGAGGTGTAAACAGTGGCTCAATGATCGCAACAAGCGCCGGGCACCACACCGATCAGTCCCGATCGACCGCTGATGCACCTGGACGAGGCCGATCAATTCACGTTCTTGGCAAGTTCACTTCGTGGGACCGAGATTCGCGCTCGGCGATCGAATCGGCGGCTTGAAGGCTGACGTAGAATAGCAGGAACTATTGGAGAAAGAGGGAATGATAACCGCGGTCGTCGATCCTCTCCCCCCGGGGGTAACAGGGTTGGTGCTCCCCTTCCGGTTCGCACGCTGCGCTTGCCCCCCATAGCGCACGCAGCAGAGGGAATACCTCCCCCCTCTTATCCTGGGCCTCCCGTTGGAGGGACTTCCCGCCCTGGTCGGAGGGAGCCGGTTGACCGGCTCTTTGAAGGTCTTCGTCTCTTGGCCGTTGTTGCTCGAAGGCGCGAATTGGGAAGTGATTTGGGTTGACAAATGATTACTAACACAAAAGAAATGATGTTTAGTACGTGGAGTGTTCCTTGTTTACATATGTTTTTAGCATTTAGAACAATTTTCTATCTCATGCATAAAATCCGTACATAATTACAAACTTAAATTGGGTCATCCTATTTTCTCTATAGTTGACCCCCCCCCCTCCATGCTCCAAGGCAGCAGCCGTAGTAACTCGCCTTCCCGTCGTCCCCACTGCCAGCGCAGTCGCTCACCATCTCGTGACGATTCTTTGCATCGCTCTGAATCGAAAAAATCGCATCAAAACCGTCGTCGACGCCGCGGTAAACGTCGTGAAATGGGTAAAAAGAAGGACCGGATTCCCGATAATTGGGTCGATGTGGCCAAAATGGGTACATTTATAGGCACGTCACGATTTGTGCCTCTTCGTGTCCCTCTGGATGCCAAATATTTGCCCCAATTTGAGACAAAAAAGGACGAAATTTGGACCCCAACGGACTTTTTAGCCACTCAACAAGACCAAAATCTTAATATTAAGATGATTATTGACCTCACAAACACTTTCAAATATTACAATGGAAAGAATGAATTTCAGGATTCTGGAGTAAAATATGTCAAGATTGAGATTGAAGGGTTCAGGGGTCCCCCCAAGCTCGAGATGTGGCCAAATTTATGAAAATTGTCGATGAATTTATTGCCAACGAGCCTGAAGGAGCTATTGCAGTGCATTGCACTCATGGACTCAATAGAACGGGATATCTCGTTGTCACGTACATGGTGAAGAGGCTCAATTGCTCGGTGACAGAAGCTCTGGAAGCTTTCAAGGTGGCTCGACCACCGGGACTGATTAAGCACATGTACATTGAAGATTTGTACAAACAATTAGGAAAAGATGAAGAGGTACAACTACCAGAACTTCCGGAATGGGCTAGTGCGAAGTACAGTAGAAAAGCAGGGGAGGGAAAAAGGCGGGCGTAGCAACCACGGTAATCACAGGACAATTGAGTAGATGGTGACGCCTCGAGTTTGTTGAGGTGAAGACAACAGCTAGAGTCGAAATAAAAGTGCGTATCGCATCGCATTTTTACGAGATTTTTGCGAGTTTTTAGAAGTTGATGAGGCTCGAGCAAGCACGAATGTATTGTGCATTATAAATCGGCGTGTGGTGATTACTCACATCCTTCGCTTATAGAGATAATACACGGTCCCTCGTTCCGATAAATTTAGTGCAAAGAGCTTGTTCGAGTGTTGAAAGGCGTATGAGGTAGGACGTGACCACGCATGTATCAAGGCAAAAAGACTTCTACTGGCGTATAGTCGACACCCTTCTTTTTCTCTTCTTACCTCCATGCTTGACCCGTCATGGCCAGCACCTCCTGAACAATATCAGTGTACAATGTCCTGTACTTGAGCGGGGACGGAAACTTGTGGCCTTCCTCGTGCTCAAACTTAACTCGTCTGATCCTCGTAAAGCTCTGGACCAATTTGTCAGAATTAAGGGCTAATGGATCCGCTCTTCCCACCACATGCACGGATGGCACGTCAATAGCCCCATCGACTGAAGTGTTAGCGGCATCCAACAGCTCCTTCGTCTCAGCATTAGAAGGATAGAATCCTCCTATCAGTACACAGGCTTTCCAAGGCACGTAGCCATAGATTGAGAGATAATGCGCTGTTAATAACGTGGTCATAGCGGCCCCTTGAGAAAACCCCAAGACGACATCTACAGTCCCTAAAGCTTGAATCTGACCCATTAAATAGTCCAACGACAGTTCAAAACCTTCGTAATGGAATATCTCGCTGTCTTCGTGCTTAATGGCGTCCCACCATTGATAAAACGGTCCCATCTCGCCGTAAAAAGAACGTACCAGTTCCGGAGCAGGACCCGATGCGTTCCATGGTGCATTTACATATAGAAATTCAGCTTTTGACCCAAATTCTTGACGTAGAGCGAAGGTTTGATGCTTGAGAATGGTACCATTTGTTCGCCAACCATGTAGACATAATACACGAATTGAACGGGTCATTTTTAGGATAAAAAGAGGTTTAAAACGACGTTCGGAAACTGCCGAAAAGAATAAAAACAAAGTACTGGGAGCTGAGGACGATCATTGATTGGCTAAACCACTTCAACTTGCTTAATCTAACGGGTCTTTGCTTCTTTAATCCTAGGTGTCGCCGTGCTAATGTTGTCGTACACGATGATTACTAAACAGATGTAAACAGGAAAATGTTGAGAAGGCGGTTTAGGTTGTCAGCCAATTCACAGTCGTAAAGAAAGGCTCAACAAAGGGAAACGTCTATGATTGGCTAAACCGCTTTCATTCGTGGGATCGTCTGACCGATCATATCCTAATAGAAATATTGCTATGGGCGGTACTCCTTTCTGATTGGCCAATTCGTTTCATCCTGACCTGCATTTTTGATTACCATACTACAATGTACTGATTTAACAAAGGTTAGACGACACAGTGCATGGGCATCAAGCCTGCATAGTAAGTTTGGAGCTGTATACTGGAACTTGGTTCATATGGATCATCTACACCATCTAAACCATCATGTGCTTCGCTTGATATCCTGCACTGGATGGACGGCTTTTATACAATATGAACTTCCCTTTTAATGTTAAAGACTGTAAGGGCTGCTACAATCACGTTGACCATTGGGTCTCCATTAGGCACGCAGGATTGAAATGAAGTGGTGCCCCGGTTTCAACGACGACCAGTCAGAACTGGATGGCGATCGTAAGCGACGATGAGTATCATTGAGACAAGTTACATAGAAGGTCATTGGTGCCAATTACGCGTGGTAGTCATCGTGAGGTCCTCTTCTTAACTTCCTATATCGATGCTTGACATGTAACGACTTCGACCAGAAGTGGACCCGCAAGATGTCGAGTTGGCGTTGACGTTCAATCTCCAAGTAGTGCTCCTCGGAACGAATGGAATGACAAGCTCAAGTATAGTTCTCGACTTGACTTGGTGTGATTTGAAGCTGCTGCACGTGCATGCCTTGCAAAGTATGACGAGCAAGTGAATTGCAATGCAAGCCTTCACCATCACAACGTATACGTCAGAGACCTACTGAGTGAGGATTGATTATCAATGCGTAACAACTAATGAAAGACTATTGAAAACAATGCAGTCATTTAGAAGACGTACACGTGAGACTACGTCTTCCTACCACAGCTGTTTATATGGGTAGATGTAGTCGGACATTCCAAGCCCCTCAAGAATGCCCGTGATTGTGCACTCGTCTCATCTCATCGGTGACTATAAAATTTTTACGCAGGGCATTCAAATGCATTCCATTGAATATGCGCTCTGTCTTCTACACGATCGAGAAAAGCAGATACCTTTGCGCGACTGGATCGAACAGGTAACTCGTAGCACGACTGACCAATCAGCAGTAATAACAACGGTGAGGTGGCGTGACTTGCTAATCACGACGCGGTGTGGGACTCCGTCGACGAGTGCAGCATCATAGATTTGCATCCGAGGACAGGTTTGACGAGGAGTTCTATTAGCAAATTTTTAAGACAAAATCTGGAGGACAACGAACGTGTATGAATTCAGGACTAGATAAGTATTAGCTAGTGGGGTACTACTCATGGTGCTCGTGTTAGCATATAGTCGGCAATAGAGATGGAACGGAGACGGGTGAGCCTTGATGCCAGCTTGACACTGAAGAGGTGTGGGCATTGCAGTCGATTCAAAATGCAACATGAACCTTTTGACCGCAACCAAGTGGAGGTAATGCACATCCGCGGTAAAATGTCAATGAACCACTTTCGCTTCCCGCGACAGCATCCTTAACGCCCGTTTCACTGCATGTACATGTACTGCAATGATCGATCGACAAGTGCATGACACGAGAAACATCTCTCTCTAGTATGCAAATTGTAACAAGCACAATACAAAAACATTCTAAAAAAGAAGAATTGCTGTGTATTTCTGAACCAAACCATGTCGATGCAGGACGTTCTACGCAAATCAATCAGCGATTAGCTTGCAAAGCGTGTAGACACCAGTCCAATCAGGACCAGGTACTGTTTCGCGCTGTACTAGTGAGTCCTCCATTGGCACACCTTGATGCGCTCGAGCCGCACCTCATCGTTTAACGAAAAAGACCATTCAGACTTGCTCATTCTTCATTTTGCTACGTTCAACTAACAGGTCGATCGATGGTTCAATGGACTGTGATTGTTGCCAGTTTGGCCGTCATGGCCAATGTATCTGATGCATCCGGTGTCAAGTATGACACTCTTGAACCTGTAAATGCACTGCCAAGAGTGCGTGTAATGCAACGATCTGGATCTGCGTCATTTGATTCGGGCTCTGCGCCGCTTGATTCGGAAGATCCGTCGCTTGATTCGGAAGATCCGTCGCTTGATTCAGGATCTGCTTCGATAGCTTCAAGGATCGAAACATTGACAACTTCTGCTTCATCACCAGGGCTCGTGTCATTTGCTTCACTTTTCAAAACATATGCGGCTACTGGATCAAAGCCATCAAAGTCTTCTTACTCGTCGTCTCCAGTAAAATCGGTCGAAGATATTTCCGTCACAGTGTCACCCAGTTCGTCGTCGAACTATTCGGCTCTGATCACGGACGCGTCAGGAGTTTCATACGGGCTTGCTACCCCTCTCACAGCCAAAAGCTCCGTTGTACCAACGTACCGCAACTGGGTTGGTCCTCCAGTATTCCAAGGAGATGTGGCTTGTTGGCGAGAAGCTCACATTATGGACGTGTGTCCGTCCAACTTCGACCGCAATGAAGCTACCAACACGTGCTGGGCGGAGTGTCCGCTCGAGTTTCCGATAAAGTGCGGCATGGAGTGCATTCGTCAGAACGACGATTGTGGCCGTGAAATCTTCTACAAGGTCACTTCTATCATCAACGTCGGGATCAATGGTATCATGGATAATTGGTTCGGCAAATTCAAAGAAATGGCGAAGGAGGTGCGAACCGCAACCTATTGTATTTGTATGCTATTAGGTGAGGTTCGCGCCATCCTCCGTTACGTCCGCAGTATCAAGACTTCTGACCCCCAAGCTTCGCTAGACAAAATATTGACGTTGCTATACCAGTCAAACGCAGTGGTCGTCGAATTGCCTATTACGATCAAATTGTGCATGGGCGGCAAAGCAGGCCCCAAGTGGTGGCTGGCAGAGCGAATGATGGCAACAACTCAATACCTTTTGTCCCAAATTATGTCCCACGACGACGAGCTCATCGCGAGCTTTGATCGATTCAAAGCATTCCTCAAGGGAGCCAACTTCACGGTCCCACGATCGATGATCACAAAGGGAGAAATTGGCTATCTGAAAGACGCGCTGCAGTCGAACTCGAGTTGCGGACACGACTTGCAGGGTCTAGTAGAGCGTACATGGTCTACTATCGAGGCTCTTCGGGAGAAATATCCCGGTATCACGAAGAATCAATTGCGTGTGATGATCCAGGATACGGAACTTGTGAAGACGGACATTGCAATTGTGACCAGCAATTGTATGGAGTTGTTGGTCGAACAATCGGGCCAAACGACAGCGTACGTTACACGAGACAAAATCCGTAAGACGTTCGGAGTGATCATCAATGATCTCATTACAAAAGGCGTGAGCAACAACGGCACGTCATACAAAGCCAACGAATACACGTACAAGTGGCTGAACCAAGGTCTTAACGCTTTTATGGTCACGGGTTTCGATATGAGTGGTATCACCAGCATGATCTCCGAGTATTTCCAGACGACCTGCGGCCCCACGCAGTTCATTGGCGAGATAGACGACGGCACCCACCCCCATACACTGGGACTCAGCACCATTCAGAAGGCCTTCCAAAACAGCACTTTGTCGTGGACCAAGAAAGGGGACGGCCAAGTCATCATCAACTTTGCCAGCTACGACACAAAAAACGTGACAGTCAACATCATCTCTGGAGGCGACAAAATCGACGAGATCGATGTCATCGCGGGTGGAAAAGCCACATGGAAGTCGACTGTGGAGAAGTTGGGCGGCAAGACGTTGTATCTCGATCGTTGGCGTAAAGGGTTCCTAGGGCTTCCGACCACCAGGGGTGGCTCCTTAATGCTGTGGGTGCCCCGTGCAGCCCAAGGTGGTCATTTAGACTTGAATGTGAGGCTGAACTTGAATTAACTAGATGATAGATGATAGATAGAGATAGAGTGAAAGTGTAAAGAATCGAGCGGCGCTGAGCTGGCGAATAAACGTAAATGAATCCGTTAATTTGTACTGCAACATGTTGACCATCACATGCCGGGCTCATAAAAGATTATTCGGATCATCTTGAACTGCAATTTCACTCCGAGGATGCGGTAGGAAGACGTAGTCTCACGTGTACGTCTTCTAAATGACTGCATTGTTTTCAATAGTCTTTCATTAGTTGTTACGCATTGATAATCAATCCTCACTCAGTGGGTCTCTGAGGTATACGTTGTGATGGTGAAGGTTTGCATTGCAATTCACTTGCTCGTCATGCTTTGCAATGCATGCACGTGAAGCAGCTTCAAAGCACACCAATTCAAGTCGAGAACAATACTTGATCTTGTCATTCCATTCGTTCCGAGGGGCACTACATGGAGATTGAACGTCAACGCCAAACTCGACATCTTGCAGGTCCACTTCTGATCGAAGTCGTTACATGTCAAGCATCGATATAGGAAGTTAAGAAGAGGACCTCACGACGACTACCACGTGTGATTGGCACCAATGACCTTCTCTCAATGATACCAACGACCTTGTCTCAATGATACTCGTCGTCGCTTACGATCGCCATCCAGTTCTGACTGGTCGTCGTTGAAACCGGAGCACCGCTTCATTCCAATCCTGCTCCTACATGGAGAACCCAATAGGCCACGTGATCGTAGCAGCCTCATAGTCTTTAACATCAAAAGGGAAGTTCACATTGTATAGAAGCCGTCCATCCAGTGCAGGATACGAAGCGAAGCACATGATGGTTTAGATGGTGTAGATGATCCATATGAACCAAGTTCCAGTATACAGCTCCAAACTTGACTATGCAGGCTTGATGCCCATGCACTGTGTCGTCTAACCTTTGTTAAATCAGTACATTGTAGTATGGTAATCAAAAATGCAGGTCAGGATGAAACGAATTGGCCAATCAGAAAGGAGTACCGCCCATAGCAATATTTCTATTAGGATATGATCGGTCAGACGATCCCACGAATGAAAGCGGTTTAGCCAATCATAGACGTTTCCCTTTGTTGAGCCTTTCTTTACGACTGTGAATTGGCTGACAACCTAAACCGCCTTCTCAACATTTTCCTGTATACATCTGTTTAGTAATCATCGTGTACGACAACATTAGCACGGCGACACCTAGGATTTAAGAAGCAAAGACCCGTTAGATTAAGCAAGTTGAAGTGGTTTAGCCAATCAATGATCGTCCTCAGCTCCCAGTACTTTGTTTTTATTCTTTTCGGCAGTTTCCGAACGTCGTTTTAAACCTCTTTTTATCCTAAAAATGACCCGTTCAATTCGTGTATTATGTCTACATGGTTGGCGAACAAATGGTACCATTCTCAAGCATCAAACCTTCGCTCTACGTCAAGAATTTGGGTCAAAAGCTGAATTTCTATATGTAAATGCACCATGGAACGCATCGGGTCCTGCTCCGGAACTGGTGCGTTCTTTTTACGGCGAGATGGGACCGTTTTATCAATGGTGGGACGCCATTAAGCACGAAGACAGCGAGATATTCCATTACGAAGGTTTTGAACTGTCGTTGGACTATTTAATGGGTCAGATTCAAGCTTTAGGGACTGTAGATGTCGTCTTGGGGTTTTCTCAAGGGGCCGCTATGACCACGTTATTAACAGCGCATTATCTCTCAATCTATGGCTACGTGCCTTGGAAAGCCTGTGTACTGATAGGAGGATTCTATCCTTCTAATGCTGAGACGAAGGAGCTGTTGGATGCCGCTAACACTTCAGTCGATGGGGCTATTGACGTGCCATCCGTGCATGTGGTGGGAAGAGCGGATCCATTAGCCCTTAATTCTGACAAATTGGTCCAGAGCTTTACGAGGATCAGACGAGTTAAGTTTGAGCACGAGGAAGGCCACAAGTTTCCGTCCCCGCTCAAGTACAGGACATTGTACACTGATATTGTTCAGGAGGTGCTGGCCATGACGGGTCAGGCATGGAGGTAAGAAGAGAAAAAGAAGGGTGTCGACCATACGCCAGTAGAAATCTTTTGCCTTGATACATGCGTGGTCACCTCTTACCTCATACGCCTTTCAACACTCGAACAAGCTTTTTGCGCTATATTTATCGGAAGAAGCTGCGATGATGACGAAAGAGTCGACATTTAGCGTGGAGAGATACAGAAAGTTGAGGCGATGTAGTGCGTCTTCATACGGTATATACCTGCTGGGTTCAGCTACTCTCCTGTTGACCGAAATGAACATTCCTACGGTCGATGTGTATGCGTTTCGTGCTTCAAGCTATGGCGGTGAATTTACGGATGCATGTGTCAGTGATTTTACGAATGCCTTTCATGTGCGACTAAGAAGCTCTTCGACAAAAGGTTGCTCAAGGTGGTTCATATGTACTAGAAATGCTGCTTTGAAGTTGCTAGCGGACGTGAATGATATCAAGGGGCATGGCAGAGGTCCAGAGTGTCTTCAAACCCCGATACCCAAAGCTACGACGAGAAGAGCATCGCACTTTTAAAAGCTGCTCGAATTGTTGGCATGAAAAAATTGCGGCCAGATATGGTCACGTGGCATTGCCAACAAGAAAGTTGTCGCCGACTTTACAATGCTACTTTGGTGTCAAGCATCACAAGCGCGGCTACGCAATTATTCGGAGCTTGAAAGTTCACAATCAAATGGTGAGATACTACCAGCCGCTTCTTACTCTGTGCCGCGTACACCTTCGTCTGATTTTGCGAAGGCTGTCAACGAAGTGCACATGGGTTAGTAAGGTTTACACTAAGCGCGTCAAGAATAGACAGGGCTCGTCGAGGTCGATCTTGCCTTAATTTCTTACACGAATTGCACTTCTTTACACGTATGCACTCGAGCTGGCTGTTGCTTTATTATTCGAGCAACTACTCCATGATGGTCCTATCTGCTGCACTGCTAGTCCAAGCGTCTGCGACACTGCGTCTTTACCAAGATCTTTCATCTTGCACGACATCTAGCAGTCGATAACTTGAAATTGCGTTATGCGAGCTTATTCTTCTTCGTAGAACGCCCTGTGAGCATCAAGGGTGCACAAGCTGCTGTCGCATCTGAGCCTGCAACGCCTGCTGCTGCTGTAGCTGCTGCGCAGCGATCTCCTGAGCATGTTTGGCACAGTGGCCATTCTTCTGAGCCCACTTGGTACAGTTCGGGTATTCACACCGCTTACCACCACCATGACCACGACAGAAACCACCCGACTGGCAACTCTTGGCGCAACCCTCGAATTTGCATCGCACACCGCCGCCGTGCTGCTTGCACAGGCCTCGTGACTGTGCTGTCTTCGGGCAGCCCTCCACATTGCAGGGCTTGCCGCCACCGTGCGCAATGCACAGGTGGCCGGTCTGTGCGCTTTTCATACACCCATCGACCTTGCATCTTCGGCCACCACCATGAAGCTTGCACATGCCCTTCACGCGCGCTGCGTGGCTGCAGCCCAATGCCGAGCACAATTGTGTCCCACTGGCATCCATCTTAATTGGCTTACCAGTCTGTGTCGATATCCGCATCTGTTGTTGTGGGTGACCACCGCGTGTCTGCTGCTGCTGTTTCTGCAAAAGCAAGCCTGCTCCAGGCTGCATAAGCATATTGGGAAACTGTGGCATCGGCTGATTCGCTCCAACGTATCCGGGCGCCGATGCCATCAGTCCATTCTGCTGCTGCTGTTGCAGTGCATTCTGATAAAGTTGATGATACTGTTGCTGTTGTTTCTGTTGCTGCTCTTGCCGTAACAATTGTTGCTGTAAATGTTGCTGTTGTTGATGGTGGTACGTCGTATTCCCCTGCGGATGGTTCGTCATCCCCATTGTAGACATACTTCCTGACGCCGAGGACGCCGAGGATGCTGCATTGTATCCAAGATGCGACGGTGAATCAAGACTCTGTCCAAATGTCGAAAAACTCGACGCAGTTGAAGTCATTTCCGTGTAAATCGAACGGGATGGATTCACTAGTGTCTGTGTATCCACAAACCCGACCGAATGATGACCCAAAGTCGACGAAGCTCCATGACTCGAATGACCTGTGCCATTCAAACAACTTGTCGTATTTCCCGCTGTAGTCGTGGCTCCATGATAATCAAGCAGATTATCCAAATTGTCAACTTGGACGACATCATCACCGCCGTAATCATCATTATCAATTGCCGAAACATCTGTTTCAATGGACTCGAGGGTTCGGGCTAAATGTTGAAACCGAAAACTATCTTGACTTGTCATTGGTTTTTGAATCGCTTGATTTGATGTGGCATTCAGCATGGCTTGAATAATTTCAAAACTTGTTGTACGCATGCCCATGCCGCCAGTATGTAATGTGTTATGATGAGGTGCAGTCGGTGGCATGAAACTCCGCATCAATTGTAAACTCGACAAGCGTTGCAAAGTCCCTGCTTCACAATCCTTGTACACTTGCGTCAAAGGTTCGGGCGTATTACTGGCAAAGGAATTATCAATAAAACTCAATAAATGACGTAAACTTTCCTTTTTTTCCGTCATGGAAAACGTGTGCGAACTTAATAGTTTCTTCAAGGACGGTTTGTGGTCCACGCCACTTGGTTTCACATTCTCGGAACTTACGAGGAAGCTGCTGCCCGAACTCTGAGAACTCAGCATCCGAGCAGAGGGAGGTTGTTGATCCAAGAGACAGGCCAAGACATCTTGAATACTGGCTTCACGATGTAGTGGCTGACGAAAGTCCACGTTGCCATTGCCACTATGACCCGCAACAGCTGCTTCACTAAGATTCGGTGTACGTGCAAGCTCTTTCTTGACCATAGCCAGGTCTCCACCTGTGAATGAAACAGGTTTATTGTGCTCTGCCGCGGCTGTCAGTCGTGCCTTCATTTGTGACCAATTAGCTAATTGGGCGCTGGAAAAGAGTGACGTGTCTACGCAATCCATCATACTACGTAAAAGTTCTGGGTTAGCACCTGGTACTTCATCAATAGAGCCAGATGAGGACGAGGGAGCGAGCGGAGCCATTAATGTGGGGGTGGAACCGCCAGATTGCGCCATATTCTGAGGGTGGCGGATTCTCTTGGGGTGGTGGTGTGCTTTAATTGTGTTCCCTTCCTTCTTTGGAACGTTGGAGATTAAACTCGTGATGGACAGGGTTCTATGTGAAACACCCAGATGAGAGGAGAGGGTGAAATAAGGATTGAGAGTCCAGCAGAAAGGTTTATTTGACTTTTTTGGGTTGAAAGGGCGGTTTTATTCCGGTTTTTGTATGGGTAGTTGAAAAATGCAGCTTTTTTTAGCGACCTGAAACGGTTTTAGTTAGACCCGACGCGTCGGTTATCATGGTTATTTGCAAGCTGATAAGTCTAGTTTAGTATAATATGGGAACTATACGATTAGAAAGGATTATCAAGAATTGACTTCCTTTAGTATACAAATACTAGTACATATCAAAATAAGTGGATGGCTGATGTATCGTAATATAGAGGAAAAAGCACACCACAACAAAACATTCTTGTACCTGTTTGTCACTCCACTCAGACATTAGAAAATTGCTTTGCTAAATCAAGCAAAACGAAGTGGATACACTATTTAATCATTAGGTGATATGACATAAACTTTAGCCATCTTCCTGGGTACTGACTTTTCAGCATTAACGTATCGTTGAATACGAATTACGGGTGTCACCTTCTTGCATTGTCTTAAACTTAATCAGCGAACATTAAATATATGACCACTTTAGTCTCAATTACGATCACTCAGCTAACACTTGCAAGGCACAAGCACCTCAATCAGTAACGTCTAAATCTGAACCTTATCGGTCAAAATAAATCTATTTGGATTCAGAATGTCATGAACCACTACAAGAGTAGGATGAGCGACTTGTGGTGTAACAAAACACTAATCACGGCCGACAAACATGATACACTCGCTGCATCGTACGCGTTTAAATAGGAATAGTACTATTTTATGATTGATATCAATCATACAACATATGTACTATTTCTAAACTCGACATTCTTCCAAAAGTTTCCATTTTAGAGATTTTACAGCCCAGAAACCTCCCAAACGAAATACAATCTGATGTAGCTATATAGAATGTATCCATTTCCTCCTCCTGCTTCACAAAGTGGTCCAATCATTGGAATTCACTATAATGGACACTACAAGTTCATTGTCCGCTTTTACCGTCCCACGGAAGCTTTTGACCGGTCATAAACGCCATGCTGATGCTTCTATAGACCGTCCTCCTTCATTTTTCTTGACTTTTAATGATTTTGCAACATTTTCTATCCGTGGTGACGTCCAGGAATCTCGTTTCTATAACGATTTAGAAATGCATCGACGCACGCTCGTCACGACCAAAGACACGTCACATGTGACACGTCAAAAGTCGTCTGGTATCAACATAAAAAGGACCACGCACCATTTAATTCAATTACTAATGGAAGCAATAAAGACCTCTCGTATACAAATTCCAGCACAAAAAAGGATCGAATTGGAGAATGCACGACGAAGAATTTCGAGCTTCTCAGTATCAGAACATGAACAATATCTCATGCTCCAATGCAGTCTATTTCAAGCTCAACAGGTACTAAAATCCATGGATTTTTTGACGTAGGAGAAGGATTTTGCTAATGTTTTTGTTTTTTTTCTTGTGATGTTTTTTTGTTTCTTGGAATTGAGTGCAGCGTGGATTGCCAGAGGTTTTAGCACTTGGAACTAAGGAAGCAAAGCAGTGGCAAAAGATGAAAGTGAAAGTTGAACGAGAACAAGTGGAATTTTGTCGAATGATGACAAAAGGACTTGCATTCGAAGCTGCTGTTCATGAGAATCAAGTGCCGTCATTTGCTGCCTCCTCGGTACGGTATAATGGAGACTTTGTTTTTTGTTTTGAGTGGTTGATTGATAAGCTGTACTGTATTTGTTATAGTACAATGCAATGCTGACGCAGTGCTGGAACGATATTTATCGTCTTTACCCACGTTGGTTTGATCCTTGTATGGACATCACGCTGCCAAAAGATGGCGTCTCGAACGGTTTGACGTGGGCCGAGATTGAGACGAAGAAGGTGGCTACGCGTGGCGTTTGTTGCACAATTGATGTAACAAAACTTGTTTCTGGTCAAACATTGAAGAGTACGACGAACGAGAGCGATGGATTGACGTTGGACGTTGCATTGCCACGCCAGGTTATCTCCACCGACGGACAAGCAGTGCAGTTGATGGAAACCTACGACTGTGACATTGCCATCTCGTCGTCTACGCTAGTCGCACTGTTTGATAGTGATACGTCAACCCGCTTTGCCCACGTAGTGAGTTACATACAAGAGCTTGTTTGTGTCTGCTGTTGGTCAAGTATTGACTCTAAGACATGCAGCCTGTAGGTTGGGGTATCCCTATGAAAAGCCGAGCGAGCGTTGACGGAAACGTTAGTACGAAGAAGCGTATCTATTTAGATCGGCCATTGCCAGGTAGCAATCCAGGCACGCGAGAAAAAGTAGCAGAGGCTGGACGTTCTGCACTGTTGTCTCGATTTGAGGTAAGATTGGCAATTGTTGTTGAACAATGAGACGCAGAAAGGAGTCTGAAGCTGTTATGGCAGGCCGAATCTGTGCTTGAAGGATCCACTGGTGGACGAACAGTATACCATATCTGGCAACTCAACGAAAAGCGGATTCTCGTGCGCAGTACGACGCATATGCATATGATTGCACCTACTCTCTCAGGCGGTGCTTCGTCGTCTTCGAATATGCTGCAAGATGAACAACACAAGAAACAGGCAACTGCACCGCTAAGCGTATTTGTCAAGCCAGACTACCATTTGCTGGGAGTTGAGGAGCAGCTGACTACGAGTGAAAGATGTCGCTTCTGGTTCCATTCGTGGCTCCGTGGCGGTTCGACTGTACTTGTGGCAAGGGTGAACCCCAAGAGGGATATCGTCAGCTCCTGGAAAACCTATTCGCCAACCTCTCTCATCTTTGGAGACAAGAGTGAGCAATGTCTTCCACCCGAGTGTTTTGAGTAAGTTTTTGTAACCGTCTTGTATGATTCGGATCGTACTGTATGAGTGTGTGAACTGACAACAGTGTATTTTACATGCTAGTCCCTCATCGAAGTTTGAGTGGTTATCTATGCTGTTTGCAGGATTGGTGGATCTCCCGGTTGGGAATTACCTCTTGCGGCCAAAAGATGCGTGTGGACCAAGTACATTTGGGAAACAACGTGACGGTGTCGAAATTCTCATGGCTACAACTGAGCCTGGGGTCGAAACGTCTGCAATTGACTTGTATAGCTTCATGCCAAAGACAAGTGACGATGGAGTCGCGGTCAGTTCGAACATTCCTCCCGTGCTGCCAGCGTGGAATCTCTGTGATCGTATCCCTTACACTTTTCGGACGGGTATGTACTGTTTACCGTTCCTTTTGGATGGGGTCTGTCCAAGCGTCTCCATGGACAAAAATTGTGAGCACGTTCATCTGCATCTGCCAGAACAACGTGGATCGAGGAAAACGAAGCGATGGCGCTTTGATAATTACACGAATTTGCTGAAGAAAACGACTGCGACTACAAAGTCGAAAGTGATGAAATACCCAAAGCGGGTGACGCTGAAGAGCGGATTTTGCGGTGAAGACAAGACGCCACCTTTGGTAATTACGACAACCAACTTGTACACTCCAGTTCATTGTTCGAAACGTCCAAGTGAGTGCTCCCTCCCACATTTGACACTTCACCAGATTCTCGAACGTCTTGCAGATGAAATTATACGCACCGAGCGAAAGAATCGTGGAGGTCAAAAGAAGGAGAACCGCAGACCTTATAAGAAAAGTGTAGGTTGAAGTTATACCTGTCAAACATGTAGCCATTACTGCAACCTACACTTTTTTATTATCAAGTTTGTCAGTTTTGATTCTTTCCATACATATTAAGTTTGCCAATCTTCCAAAAATGTACCCATTTTCCATCATCAAGGAATCTCGACCAGTCATTTCGCACAAGTCACAGTTTGTAGCAGAATGATGCAAAATGGACGTGTTCTCGGCCGTAACGAACGACGCAATCCTTTGGTGAAGCAACTTGTATTGGAAAATGATCGACCAGCACGAATTAGTCATTTAAACTTTGGGCTGTTGTCGGATGTAGACATGATGAAAATGTCGGAGCTTTGTGTGCATTCAAAAGACCTGTTTAAAGTACAGACACGGGAACCAGCATTGGATGGTGTATTGGATAAACGTCTCGGTGTGTCAAATAAAAAGGATACATGTGAAACCTGTCATCTAAAGCTTTCGGATTGTGTGGGTCATTTTGGATACATTAAACTGGAATTACCCGTCTTCCATATTGGATATTTCAAAGCGATTACCGAAATTTTACAAAATATTTGCAAGACATGCAGTCGCGTCCTGTTACCACCGATGGAACGAAAAGTATTCCTGAAACGAATGCAAGACCCAAAAGCCGATGTCTTGAGACTTGTGGGTCTTCGGAAAAAAATTGCAACAATTTGTAAGAAAACAATGAAATGTCCCTATTGTGATGCTATCAATGGTACAATACGAAAAATTACCAGTACAACGTTGAAATTGGTTCATGATAAATATCGAGCTAAAGCCACCTATGATCTTCGAAATGTTTTCATTGCTCAATTTGCACAAGCACAAGCAAATAATTCGGAAATTGGAGCTCATTTATCAAAAGCACAAGAAGATTTGAGTCCTTTGGTGGTACAACAATTGTTTCAAGCGATTCCAGATCAAGATTGTGAACTTTTGTGGATGGATGCAGAGGGTGGAAGACCAGAAAAATTAATTTTATCCTCAGTGTTAGTACCGCCAGTGTGCATTCGTCCATCCGTAGCGATGGATGGAGGAACTGGTAGTAATGAAGATGATATTACGGTGAAACTCCAGGAAATTGTGCAAGTGAATTTTGCTCTACGTGCAGCATTGCAAAAAGGAGCGTCATTGAAGATGGTTATGGAAGACTGGGACTTTTTGCAGATTCAAGTGGCACAGCTTATGAATGGAGATACACCCGGTTTAGTCAAGCCACCAGGAGCAAAAACCGGTACGCGTGGGCTTTGCCAACGTCTAAAGGGCAAACAAGGACGTTTTCGTGGTAATTTGTCTGGAAAACGTGTAGATTTTTCGGGTCGGACAGTTATTTCACCGGATCCGAATTTACGGATTGATCAGGTAGGTGTGCCAGAGCATGTGGCCAAGACGATGACGTATCCGGAAAAGGTTACACGTTACAATATCGAGAAGCTGCGCAAGTGCGTCGTGAATGGACCAAATGTGCATCCTGGTGCTAATATTATCCGTATTGAAGGCCAGAAGTTCACGAAAAACTTATTGTATGGTGACCGCGCAAGTTTAGCTGACGAACTAAAAATTGGTGATATCGTGGAACGCCACATGGAGGATGGCGATATTGTGCTGTTTAATCGTCAGCCTTCACTCCACAAGATGTCAATTATGTCTCATCGCGTGAAGGTGATGCCATGGCGTACATTTCGTTTCAACGAGTGTGTTTGCTCGCCGTATAATGCTGATTTCGACGGTGACGAAATGAACATGCATCTTCCGCAGACTGAGGAAGCTCGCACCGAAGCTATTACACTGATGGGTGTGGAGCAGAATCTCATTACGCCTCGCAATGGTGAACCGTTGGTTGCAGCTACGCAGGATTTTCTAACGGCTTCCTACTTGCTCACTCAGAAGAATATCTTCTTCAACCGCGAGCAATTCTGTCAGGTGATTTCAATCATGAGTGATGCAAATGAACACATTGAGATGCCGCCTCCGGCTATTGTGCTGCCGATGCGGTTGTGGACTGGAAAACAGGTGATTAGCCTTTTGGTGAAACCCAATTCTCAAACAAAGGTGCTAGCGAACCTAGAGCTAAAGGAACGCAATTACACGAGCAACAAATACATGTGCTGGAAAGATGGGTACGTGTGCTTCCGCAACAGCGAGCTCATATGCGGTAATCTGGGAAAGAAAACGTTGGGTGACGGCAGTAAACAGGGTCTATTCTACGTGTTGATCCGTGACCACGGATCCCATGAAGCGGCCCGGTGCATGAACCGTTTGGCGAAGCTGTGCGCACGCTGGTTGGGGAACTTCAAGGGATTTTCGATCGGTATTGACGATGTGACCCCTTCAGTAGAGCTTGCAAAGGAGAAACAAAAGCTTCTTCAGACAGGCTATGATGCTGCCAATCGTTCTATTGAGGACTACCGACATGGCAAGCTGTCGCTGAAAGCCGGGTGCAATGCTATTCAGTCGCTCGAGAGTGAACTTAATGGCTTGCTTGGTAAGCTGCGAGAGACTGCTGGTGCCGAGTGCATGCGTACGCTGCCGTTCCACAATAGCCCGCGTATCATGGCTGAGTGTGGCTCAAAGGGAAGTGCGCTAAATATTTCTCAGATGATGGCTTGTGTGGGTCAGCAGTCGGTGAGCGGCAAGCGTGTTCCAGAGGGTTTTGTGAACCGGACTTTGCCTCACTTCCTCCCACACGCTCTGCACGCGTCTGCCAAGGGATTTGTGGCTAACTCGTTTTACAGCGGACTGACAGCTACTGAGTTTTTCTTTCATACGATGGGTGGACGTGAAGGTCTTGTGGATACTGCTGTGAAGACGGCCGAGACGGGTTACATGGCTCGTCGTCTTATGAAGGCGCTGGAGGATTTATCATGTCAATATGATCAAACGGTGCGTAACTCGGAAGGTTCAGTGGTGCAATTTACCTACGGCGACGATGGATTGAATCCGGCATACATGGAAGGTGATGATCGGCCAGTTGACTTCCACCGTTTGCTGGAGCATATTCGTAACACATTACCTGACCGCGAGTCTCCAGCACTGCTTCCTTTTGAGCTTCGTCGTCTGGGCAAGCAGGTGGTGCAACGTCCTCAGTTCCAAGCTATTTTGCCGACGGGACGCAAGTTTTTGATTGAGATTGAAGAGTTCCTGGGTGCTGTTGCAAGTGAAATTGCAGCAAACCGAACAGGGTGTGGTATCGAGCCAATGGATAAGGAGGTGAAGACATACGCCTTGAAACTCGAGAAGGCATTTGATGACGATGAGGCGGTCAGTGTGCTGAAGTCTAAGTCTAATGCTGGCGGTGAGACGAACAAGGAAAAGAAGATTCAAATCTCCACCAAACTGGAGAAACTTGCTAAGCCACAGGGTAGACGTCGCTTGATAAAGGCCGATGCAGAGTCGAACGATGATACAGAGGACTCGGACGAGGAAATGAGTCTGGATCTGACAACTTACAAACGAAAAGGGCTGGACAAGGTGGGCCTGCCGGAATGGGAACACACTCGCTTTAAGACATTGGAGGCTCGTGCAGAGTGGAGCAAGCGTGCAAGTAAGGAGGGGACATCGGAGAGAGAAGAGGCTTCATGGCTGCTCTCTCATAACGTGTGCCGAATTACGGTGCAACAGGTGGAAAAGCTACTGGAGATCTCACTGTACAAGTACAATCGCGCTGGCATGGAACCCGGCGAGGCTGTGGGTGCTGTTGGTGCACAGTCTATCTCGGAGCCTGGAACGCAGATGACGCTAAAGACTTTCCATTTTGCCGGAGTTGCTAGTATGAACGTGACGTTGGGTGTCCCTCGTCTCAAAGAAATAATCAACGCGTCGAAGGCCATTAGTACGCCCATTATCACGGCAGCGCTGGTGTGCAAGACCGATGAACGTTCTGCACGTATTGTAAAGGGACGGATTGAGAAGACTACACTGGGAGAAATCGCCGTACACATTAAGGAAGTCTTTGCTCGTGACCAAGCATACCTCTCTGTCAAGTTGGACTTGACGGCCATTGAGCAGTTGCACCTGAACATTACAGCTCGTTCTGTACGAAATAGCATCCTGAATGCTGTTGGTATAGGTCCGCGTGGCGTACTTCGTCTACTGAAGGAACAGCATGTGCTATTGAATGCACGTTGTCCAGACAAGCTGCGTCTACTGGCACCACCCAACTACAAGGGTGCAAAGGGTGACACTCGTGGTGCCTACTTTGCTCTGCAGGCACTGAAAGCGGAACTGCCTGGCGTGATTGTACAGGGAATTCCAACGGTGAACCGTGCAGTGATTAACTACGAGGAGGTGCAGGATGCGGATGCAGCGAATTCGCTCCATTTGTTAGTCGAAGGCTACGGTCTCGCTGAAGTCATGGGCATTCCCGGTGTCGACGGACTTCACACGACTTCGAACCATATCATTGAGGTGGAGAAAACTCTTGGGATTGAGGCTGCGCGAGAGTTGATCAGCTCGGAAGTGAATTACATTATGAGCGCTTATGGGATTGGTATCGATAGACGTCACTTGATGTTGTTGTCGGATATCATGACGTTCAAAGGTGAAGTACTGGGTATCACACGTTTCGGTATTGCAAAGATGAAGGAAAGTGTGCTCATGTTGGCATCGTTTGAGAAGACGACCGATCATCTTTTTGATGCTGCAGTTCATTCACGCACGGACGCTATTGTTGGAGTCAGCGAATGCATTATCATGGGCATTCCGATTCCTATAGGTACAGGCATATTCAAGCTTCTACGTCAGGTGGACAAGCCACGCATACAGCAAAGACAACCGCTTCTTTTTTAGAGCAAGCTTTTGATGGAGTTGTTTTACTTACTACTGAGTAAGCATGAGGCCTTCCGCTGACCGGTCTCATGTCAAAGATGATCTCGCTCTATCAAAATATCTGCAGCGCGTTCGTCAAAGGTTGCTAAGGTCTGATCATCCTTTTGGACTGTCCTTCCCGGTACACAGGCTTGGGTTGACGAAACTGCATGTTACATCGGGATTTGAGCATGTAACGTCCAACGCAGGAAAAACTTGGAAGAAAAACTGTAACGTAAAGTGCATGTTACGAGAGCATCAGTGTTGAATATTTGAATAATCTTCCATTGAAGAGGTGTTGAGATGCACTTGCGTACGAGCCGAAGCAGGGAAAAGAATCCAGTTTTCTATGGCGACTTGAAGCAAGACTCGAGTGGATCTCACATAGATCATAGGGCTCAAGCCTACAGGTTAAAGTCAAAAGTCTTGTGCTACATGACGACAGGCTGCAAGGTCGATAGAAAACATGATCAATGACTGACGTCGTGAAACCACGTGTCTATTATTTGCGATGGTCTCTCCATATACCTACGCTATACATGGAGCAATAAATACTGGACTAGAAGAGCGTAAGATCCAGATACTCGCAGTGATCTCACCTCTCCTGACTACTGTAGTGTCATCTTCCTCTGCTGTCGATTCAATACAATAACACCTTTTCTCGTGGAGTATTGTAGACATGTCCACACCGATGCAATGTTACGTCCCGTGAAGAACACGAGTCGTTCATGACCTTCTTGGTCACTTGATCCCACCTTGAAAATGCACGCGAGTCCAACGTGGCTCGTACGTCACGACAGATCAACGCAATGTCATCCATGGCAAAAGCTTGATTCTTGACCAAAAGACGAGCCCGTTCCATTGGATCCAACCAAAGCTCGTTGCACGTCCGACGAGTGCAGGAATCAATGATACTCTCGTCTTTACTCTCCTTGACCTCCTCTTCATCCGTTTCAACCAAAAGCATTGAGGACGAATGACTGATCGGTTTTCCAATGAGACCCACGGGTGGACCACCACTTGATGGCACGGCACTGGCATTGTAGCCCACATTAAACACCAAGACACTCACAGGACCCCAGTGTACGTGCTTTGGTTTCGTTTCGTTCGTCATTGTCAACATGTCGCTATTGTAAAGACGACGACGACGTTAAATGTGACACGAAGCGACTAATTCACAAGTGACTAAGTAGATTACGGCGTAGGAGTCAGAGAGAAGGATGCGTTGTCCGTCGGACAGGGTCGGTAGATGTAGAAACGGGTTGTCAAGCAGCTGCAGCAAGTGGTGGTAGAGATGTGTCGATGGTGGTGACGATAAAAAGACGGAATGATCGTCTTGATGATGGACGGACGGGGCAAACATTCCTGCACGCACGTGTGTATATTTGAGTCGTTCTTTCTTATAGAGTTAAGAAAGCGATCGTCGTTGGCATGCGTAAGGACTGATTTATTGTCGGCTCTCTGCTGGTGCTAGCGGATTGCTAGGAACTCATGCGATTGCATAGCTTTTTTTCTTTCAAATGACGTCGTGTTGTGGGTTTTCAGCCTTGGAGGAAGCTATCGTGTGATATATATATAATCTGTTGTCGCACGTATGCTTAAGACCTGCCGGGTCAGACATGTGGTCAGGTCGCTTACGTAATGCAGCACGTACGAGCACACGGTCTATGGTGTACTGAAGAGCCGTTATCGTGAATCTTTCTCGTGCTAACAACTAGGAGGACTTTAAACGTTCGGATCCGAAAACTTGGAAAGCACGTCGTTTGTGTCAATTGGAACTACACCGGCTTGGTGGAAGCAGCGGCAAATGAGGTGCGTCTCCGTTTGATTGGAGGGTACCAAATTGAAATGACGAGCTCATGTGGTGCTCGTCTCTTCTTCTTGTGATTACCGGATAGGACTGCAATGCACTTTACAAGCACAAGCACAAGCCATGCTTTTGCCGTATGGATGTGGTCGTCATCTGATCACTTAGATTCAACGGATATCCACATCTCTATTTGCAGCGAAAGCTCTGCACGATAGCATGGTGTCTTTCTCTGTCTTCTCCACCGGACGTCACCTGTTGACGCTTGGTTATGGCGTGTTTACAAGCACAAGCCATTGCTGGAAGCATACGGTCGTCATGTGATCACTTGGATTTGACGTGGAAGCTTAATGGGTCACCGAAGACGCATGCGTTCGACCGAAAAAAGATCCTCCACCAAATTTGCAAGCTCTCGTTGAGTCACAGGAAGGAATGGGCACTACGTCACCTTCAACGATATATACATATAGATACATGAAGACTTGCTTGCAATGCCTGTCTATCTGCCATGCAGGAGTCATTCGAGCTAGAGAAGACACACGTCTTGTCGACAGAATAACGTCGACAAGAACGTCCCCACTCATTCTTTCTGGTACCTGATTTCTCTCTCAATCCTGTTATACGATGCTTGCACATTCTGCTCTATATAAACGTATGAATGATGCGTAATGTGCCCCCAACCAGCAAGCAAATGCTTTTACGAATACGATCGTCATGTACAAAAGATGTGGAGGAAGGACGTTTGCCTTGATTACTTGCGACGAGTCTTGTGATTACTTCCCTCTAAAGCATCAAGACGGACATCCTTTCTGGTCCATCTCAGACGATCCAGTGAGATCCGTTCTTCGCATGATCCACACTTGAGTAATGCAGCTTCGTCTGCTGATAGGAATGGACGAGGAACGAGGAACGAGGAGAGGCAAAGACAATTAGGATCGAACAATCCGAGAAAGGAGGAAACGATACGGTGGCACTCTTCGACGCATCTTCGAGGAATGATAATTCAATTCCAAGAGCTACGCTACTGATTAGCTGGAATCTGGATGTGTCTCTTTGAGACCGTCTCTCCTCTTATGGCGATACGGGGATATTGTGGGCGAAAAGTGGTAGAAGCCAAGCAATAAGCTTTACGCACTCTTCATTCAATGGACTTACTCGATCAGGCTTCTCAATCGGATGGAGAAGGAGGCACGAGAAGTGAAAAAAACAATTGCCTGGAAGCGTGATATACGTCAAAAAGCGCAGAGGAGATGATACTGTCCTTATGACGAACAATGTCATAAGTTCAGTATTCTCTTCGCTTGTGGTAATCACGTACGTCCCGTGGAGGCGAATGTACCACTGCGGACAATTGTAAAGAAAGTTGACACATTATCTGGTTGTTCCAGACGGAGTTCATGACACGTCACTAGATGCAAAACAATGAAGAAGTGTATATCGTGTAACGCATCGCGTCAAGATGTTATTCTCGTTGATTGGTGGCAGTCGATTTTCATTTGAAGTGGTGACTTCCTCGCAGCTTTCTTCGTTTTCAACAGCGACCGATCATCATTAGGAAGGAAATCTCGATGAAGAACTGCTTGCTGTGATGCAGGTTCCAAGAATACTGCTAGGTTTCTCGAAACTCTTGTCCCTGACAACAAATTGGACGCCTTTGTCAGTGATATGAGCTGCAATTGCGTTCATTCCGTTCGCTGCACCTCTTGGCTCCAAAAGTATCGGATAATCTCCCGCTGTTGCCTACTATCCGACTGCAGATAGTCACTTTGTGCTGTTTGGTCCTTCATCAAATACGTCAAGGCACTGCCAAACTTGACAAGATTCGGCTCAATCTCTGCGTTCCACATTGTGTCGTCCCACGACACCTTGGTCATTTTTGTCTGCGTCTTTGCAGCATGTAAATGTTCCACCAATTCTCCTTCTCGCACTCCTAAAATGTACAGATATGTCTGTAACTGGGCAATATCGTACTTGGGTAAAGGTGAAATAAACCGCTTGAGTCGATTCTTGACCTCAATGACTTTTCCGTCGACTTGTCCATCAATTTTCCCACCAACGAACACGTTAAATCGTGCTACCGTAGCAACTTTTTTCTTAATAAATTTAAGATTTCTCTCCTTCACGATCACTTTTTTCTCTTTTTGATACTGTTCAATGCCTGCAGTCTCTTGTTTCATACCAAAGCTTTTGTGCATCGTCGAAGTAACAAACTCGACCACTTGAGTCTTAAGATCAATGGGAGTAGTAGTTGGTAATGATTGTACCACTTGTGCTTGAGCTTGAGCAACTTGTTGAATTGTATCAGCATTAGAAGCTTCTTGAATCAGCTTCGTAATGACTGGAGAGATCCCTAGATCCTCAACAATTGTCTGCATTTTTTCTTCTGGACTTGATAGCGATAAGGCCAATTTTTCTTGCAATGTTGAAATTTGCTGGGGGTTCGTACGATGCCACACATTAAGAAAAACGTCTTCAATGTTACGATATGGATTTAAAGCACTGATGACGGGCACTTCGCTAGCAAAGATCATAATATTACGCTTTAGTGCGTATCGTGCAGTCATTCTGTCCCAATGGATAGAGTAGAATTGAAATTTATATGAGGAGCTCCAGGTTGTTGTTACGATTTAACGTTATAATTAAAATTGTTAATACCATTTTTCGTGTTGATAAGATGTTAAAAAGCGTGAAAATGGTTTGGTTTTAATTTAGTCTGATAGAACCGCGAGTAAAAGCAAAAAAACGTCTGTACCAGTACAAAATACACGTAATATGATATAATCAATTAGTTTTTGTCCAAGCAGGAGGACGTTGTTATGATGATAATATCATGTAAACATTCATAGTGAACATACCGCAAGAATGAGACCAATGATAACAATCCACTTCAAGATGAATTTCATCACATGGTTGCCGGTGCCGTCGAGACTCCGCACGATCTGGTTGTTCCGCTTAAAACACGTCACTGACTCAGCTAAAAGAAGCTTCTTGGTTTCTTCGTCATGCGGTACAGCATTGATTGCATCTTTTATTGTATGACGAAGAGCCTGATACATACCAATAAGAGAGACCATATAACAATCACCGAGCCATCACAATCTCACAACATTCTGCGAATTCATACCTTGTTACTGTCGACATTGAAAGCAAAACAATTGAGTCCCTGTCCCTCAGGCGGCGTGAAACTTCTCTTGACCATCTTTTTGATCATTACACCACCCGCCAGCATGGCCATGTACATGTGATAACAGTATGGCAGTACCAAAGTTGGGTTCTACCATGTTACATTATGGTGAGTTAGTAAAAACTCGCTCTTAAACTTGCAGCTTCAAAAGTACGAGAACCTTTTCACACAGTTCTTTCAAATACCTAGAGCAAAAGAGAAGAAAAAAACACAACCAATTACTAGATACAAAAACAGTCATGTTTTGACTATTGACGTACTTGACGTAGTCTTGTGTAGCTTGAGTTGGCTGGTATTTCGTATTCCATTCCTCTCCGAGGTAAAACTCCAGGTCCTTTGCAATATTATCAGCCTAGAATATTATATTTCCGTGTCATTTTAATAAAAATTAAAGAAAAAAACTCACGATTGTTTTACTTACCCTGGCAATCTCATCAATAATTTTGTAAAGTCCACTAAAAGTTGCATGATTTTTGTGTGTTTTAATGATTAATTCCAGCTGTACGTAGACGTAATCTATTTATCACGACAATAATAAATTACGTATTCTAAATTTAAAACATTCCAAATAGATAACTTTCTTACAAAATAGCAGCAAAGTGCGGCCGTAAAGTTTCTTGTCCATTAACGCCACCACTAGCTTCAGATTTACTAGTCTGCAGTACAAGAGACGTATTGTATACGTAATTTATATCAACATATAGATGACAGACGCCGTACTTGTCCGAGATGGAGTGAATCTCGCGCGTCGCCGCACGCATTTGCTCCGTCAATAGTGGCGAAGTCTCCATCTTTTCTTCGAAAAATACCTGACCTTGGTAAGCTTACCGAGAAGCACATGTAGTTTACGTATAAATTACAGCTTACCTATCATAGTTCATAAATAACTTGCACTCTTCCTTTCGTCATTTTTGATCTTCAAAATTGTACCATGTCTTCTTCGATCGAAGATGCCGCTGTTGCAGTGCCTTCTACGAAGACCACAAGTACTCGATCAACTGAAAACGATATGGAAGAAGAGACCAAGATGCTACTGCACGATGTGAGCTGCTTTTCGTCGTCTAATTTGTAGTATTGATAAAGAAATAATCATTTAAACTTTACATTTGTAGGAACGTTCATCCATCTTTGAGTCACGTATTAAATGTGCCGATCTCTGTCGTCAACGTGGCTCCATGTATTTCAAAGACGGGGACAAAAACAAGGCAGTGGAGTGGTACCAACGTGCACTATACCACGTGGATTTTGACGAAGGTTCGTGGACATTCGAGGTATGCTAACATTATATTACGGCCTGGAGTTTTATTTTACGGTTAGGGAATTTTATTTTACGGCTTGATGCTGTACAATATGAAAGTTAAGACTGATGTGTATGAATATTTTGGCTGCAATAGTTTACGACCAAGAATCAAGCAGACGTGAATAAAGTGAGACTCCCAGTGTATTTGAATCTAGCAGCTTGTTTTTTAGTTCAAGGAGCTTCAATGGATGACGAGAAGGATCAAGAATTGTTGGCACAAGTGGTCAAGAATGTTAATTTGGCACTTGCAATTGATCCAGAGAATGACAAGGCACTGTATCGTGGTGGACGGGCATTATTATTGATGGGAGATCTGGAAGGAGCAAAGGAAAAACTCACGAAAGCAGCGAAACATCACCCAATGGATAAAAAGATACGTGAAGCGATGGTCGTATTGATGGATAAATTAGATGAGCACAAGAAAGAGGAGAAGGAACGTTGGGGTGGCCGTCTACTTGATGAGAAGAGGACAGATGGGAGTAAGACCGCTAACAAAGTGCAACAACAGCAACGAAATGAGTCCAGCAGTAACACACTGTGGATGTTCGCAGTTGTGCTTATGGGTATCGCTTTGGCTCTGGGTCAGCTTAGCTTTGTCGAGTAGGTAAGAAACTAAGATGCTGAAGGTGCCTTAGTAGTATATTGACATGGATTCATGCAGCTCCTACTTTTTGCCGTGAAGACATTTTCCGAAGTAAAGGTTATTATGTGCAGATATTTGTCGTCGCTTCGCGGTGTGAACGCCAGTATTGCACAGCCAGCGACAAAGCCGTTTTGCCATGGCCGTACGTCTTTACGTCGCGTTAACCCGTTTGCTGTAGGCAGACCGCCTTCTCCGCCTAACTCCAACCGTAGTACGATTGCATCGCATTGCCTGGGTGCTTGTGGTAGTTTGAGGTATGCGTGGTAATGGTTGCTGGTAGGCCATCTTGAAGTGGGCGTGTGACCGCTGAGAAATGAGCATCTTAAAGGGCGTTTATTGAGAGCACGAATGTCAAGTTTTCATGTCGACTTGTCTCCTTAGTAATGCATCCAGCTGGGACAAATGTTGTGAGAATGACTAGGAAGAGAAGAGGCTGGTCAGTCTTTTGAGAGAGCGTAAAACCCCCAGCTTCTGCGTATAGCTTTCACCCAGGCACAATGAACACTTTTCACTGCAACCGAACGCTGTATCGGTCTTGTAGCGCTGGCCTATAGAGTATACTCGGTCGAACCATCTTCGCATTCTGTCTCGCGAATTTGCAACTGCTCGTCAGTGGCTTCGTTCGTACGACCTTGCAAAAATGTCCGAGATGCCTCCTGCATGCCATCAGCTCGGTCAACAGCGAGGCCATTGTAAGAGCTTCGCTTGGTATGGATCTTTCTATAGCAAGGATCATGTCTGTGAATCGATCGTCGACGAAAGACAGCAGTTGTCTGGCTTTTGCTTGCTTCTTCCAGCACTCGACGACGTTTATCATAGCCTTTTGGATCCAAGTATCTCCAGCGTCGACACACTTGAGAGTTTGTGCGATCACCTAGCTCAGCAGCGAGTCGAGGCCACAGTCTGGAAGATTCGATCCCCCACTCACGCACTCTTGTCAGAATGAGCTCATCTTCCTGTTTGGTAAATTTACGGAACGACAAGTCCGGATTCAGACAATTCGTGTAACGGTCCCGAATCGCTGGTTGCGTCCGCCCAGGAAGATGGTGGCAGATATCACTCCAAGAAACTTGATCCTGATTGAATTCACTGTTCTTAGGTACATACGCACGGAGTGCCAGCAACATACGTCGATCCTCAATGAGCGAAAATTTGCCTCGCCGAAGACCTGGTGCGAGCGAGAGCTGCCATCGATGACGAATCTGCTCCGACACTCGACCATCTAGTAAGTCTGCAATCACGTTCCACTTTTCTCCAAAAACTGGGACAGCTTCACGCAGTATCTGATCCTCTTCTGGCGTAAAGCTCGATCGTGTGTTGCCCGCACACAGTGTCGTCTGGTATCGAGTAAGACAATGTGCTGCTGGTCTCCCTGGAATCGGCATATGCTTGGCAATCTCATGCCACCGATTGACAAGTTGTTTATCTACTTCACCTGTAGCTAAACGTCGAAGAGCTACATCTTCCTCTTTCGTCCATGCACCAAGCCGCAACTTGGGTGACTCATGCAGGTCGTACCACAATTTGCACGCAAACCCCGAGCGTTCAATTGGAAATTGTCTCGACTTTCTTTTTTCCTGCCACGCTTGAATCCCGTTCCACACTTGCAATGGGATGTCAACATTTTCATCGTGTGTCATATAAAAATCCTCTGCAAAGTCCCGAACAACTTTTCTTTCTCGTATGGAAAAAATAGTTGGAGGATTAGCAATCAGTGATTCATGACTATGAGCCCGGAGAAACTCGGTATCAGCATTAGGTGGTGGTTCCAATAACTTTTCAAGTACTTTTTCTTCGAAATCTATCGCATGGTCAGCTACGAGCGTCTGTTGTTTCTTCTTTTTGGGTCTTCCAATCTTTCGTTCATTCACCACTTCGTCCGTAAAGAACGAAACATGTTGACGAATATAAGAACGAGGAACAACACCTAAAGATTTTTTCCTAGTACGTGGATTCTTGTTGTAGCTTTGTACTATTGTATTTTGTATCGGAGCCCGCGGTAAAAGTGTAGCCATTGCTTGTTCGGCTCTTCGAAGCGCCATACGACGACGAAGTGATTGAATTTTTACAACTAACTTAGTCTCTTCCTGAATAAGAGATTTTTCTACTATTTGTAGCTCTCTTACAAGAGCATTGTTGGCTGTGAGAGCCTCCATGATGTCTGCAGCGTCACGACGTGGGGCCATTGATGTGGGTTTTTTGTCAATTTAAGATCTGGGTGATTTTGAAAAGTTTGGGCTAAACGTATTTTTGGGTTTTGATGACTTTTATTTTGGGTTTTCACTTTCTGTAGACGACAAATGGGTACATTATTTTACAAGTATTGGCCGATTCCTTCCTATTAGCTTGAACACCTCGATGAAAACCTTCACTTGAATCCTTTCTCAAACTTCTGACAACAAATGGCAATAATTGTCTTGTTCATCACATTAATCCACATGAAAAATTATCCCGACACGTAAAAGTATGAACGAAACTCTGGTACAGCTCTTGCAGCAGAGAAAGTCGATAACTTTGTGTCCGATTCATTACTCGTTCATACTTGTTCATCGTTTCGTCTCGTTCAGTAGCGTCAATAGGTTTACTGTACCAGCATACGCGACAAGACCAAGAAACAGCACAGCGAGAATGATACCAGCCAAACGACTGTATTTGCGATGCGTGCGCATCTCTTGAGCCTCTAGCTTCTGGCGTGGCAATAAAGTAAGAATTGGTATCAGCGCCAGCAAATTGATCCCGCAGTTTGCCATCACAAACGACAAAACCTGCGTGCGTGTTTTGGACGCATCCCTCGCAATCACATCAGTCGTAAAGTCTTTTTGAAGCTGAACACTCCATGTGCTTATCGCATCCGAGAATGTCAAAATCACCATATGTATCAGTGCGTTATACGACGACACAAGCCCCGTGGTCGCACCTTCCAGACAATTCTCTGTAATCTCCACAATCGGCAGCACCGTCACCAATATCACCGCTGCGCGCGAGATTCCAATGAATGAGCAAATCGACATGATGTACCAAGCGCTGCGGACACCGCCAAAGATTGTTGGGAGTGTTGCAATCAGCTTTACTCCTGCGCCAAGCAGCATGCCACCTACAGAGATGCGTATCCAACTGTAGTTGAACAGTGTGAGCTGAAAGGCCAAGATCGAGATAATCATGATGATCTGCTTCGGGATCTCACCCACACGCTCTTCATTCGGCGTCGCGTGTGCCCAATACAATACAGCGTCATCGACGAAATTGAATCGAAAGGAAGACAAGAATACGGAACAGCAAACGAACAAAATAATGCGCCACACTGCCTCGTGCTGCAAAATTTTCCATAGCTGGCGCATGAGCGATGACCGATCCACCGAATCCACCTTGAGTTGCCTAGGCTCCTCGTCTAGCCAAAACAATACCGCTGGAATCGGTACTAACGTCACCACTGCCATAATCAATATGACTACTTTCATCGAAATCATCGCCTCAGTTCTTCCTGACTTTTCGTCATATCCTACTACAAACGCAATCATAATATTTGCCAAAAGCGTTGCCGTCTCTTGTGTTAACAAGTATTGTACCAGAAGCAAGCCACGTTCGTGAATTGGCTCGCGCTGTGATAATTCCACCAACAAGGCAAACGCAGCAATTGACGCTACTGTAATTCCTAAACTGGCTGCCATCATCAGAAGCACGTAGACCGCACCTCCATAAAACGTTCTGACATTAGGATTCATTAATCCCGTGCTGTCGTCAATCAGCACTACAACAAGAAGCGCCAACAGTGCCATGTAGGCAAAAATCCAGCCTCCGAGCATATACGACTTGCGATGGAAACTCCAAATCGGGTAGAAATCGGAGAGCACACCAATAAAAAAACTAGTAGCACCTGGTAACTTGAGAAATCGAAGTGACGCCGCACACTGATCACCGTTGAGACTCAGATACACACACAAAAGAGGCTGGAAGGCGTCAGCAAGAAATGGTACCATGAAACCTGTTACCGCCGCTGAAATTGCCAGTCCATAGTACGGCTGCGAAAAGAGCTCAGCCAGTGTACCTGCTCGTAAACTTCCATACAACAAATGATTAAAAAAGCCTGAAGGTGGTGCCGTAGCTGCTCGTCTCCTCTCAAATGGATGGACGATCTCCTGTAACAACTGAATGGACAATGGAGCAGAACTGGACCTGCCTCCCACAACAGGAATCTCCGAATCTGTCCACGTTCTATCAAATGCAATCGAATATTTCTGTCCCTCTTCGTATATATGATTGTTAGTCGTCCCTGTAAGTCTTTGAGACTGTGAATTGAGACTCAAGAAATCGTCCACATTATCCGTTACTGTCGTTGAATGCATTTGCATTTCTCTTGGAACTTGAAGACCATAAATATCGTCTCCAGCGCCAGCAATACGATCCCAGTCATAGATGCTACTCTTGGTACCAAACGAGCCTTCCGAAATAAAACTGTAGCTCTTGGACGACCATTCGTTCTGCATTATGTACGAGAAACTCTCTTTGGTATTTTACTGACTTTGGGTGACTTTTTTTACGTTTAAGTTGGTATAGAAATACGGACCGAAAGCGTCTTTTATGTGGTATGAATGAAGTCCTGGAAGAAAATAATGGGCCTTTTTTCCAGTCGGATGCAATACTTTTGTGAAATGAAGACATCGAGTCAGCACAGAAGTTGCAAAAATGGTACATTTGGTACGACTCGATAAAGCTGATTGGGTCAGAGAGACGTTAATGAGGGTATCATGGTTGTAGAATGTTATTTAGTCCAGTATGTTGCCTTTCAAGAAGACTATTTTTCAAATGTGACCATTTTGTTTTGCCCCTTTCCATTTTAATTGTACGAGATTATACTTATTTTGGGTGGTGTACATTAATTGAGAATCATGCAAATAATTATTTTTACTATATTTTACATTTGCGACACATAAAGTACTACTTAGTACTATGGCCGGACTTGTGGAAAAGCTCGTAAAACTCGTAGGACGGTACGTACCCTCCCTCCACTTCCTCTTGCATTCTATTTATGTCTTACTTATTGACAAAGCGTCTCTTCTCTTCTCTTCTCTCTCTCTCTTGTCCTCTATAGCGCCTTTTACTCGGACGAACATGTTGTAGTACTTGGCGCTTTAATTCGTGAAAAGTTTATGAAGGTTTTTGTCCTGTATTAGTGATATGTATTATTTTACAAAAAATAATACATACATAGTAATATTTTGGAATAAAACTACTATTTTCACAGGACGACGAGATGGGGAACGCTGTGAACCTGCAAACGCGTCAAGTGCGTAAAATAATGAACGAATTGCACCAGGACAATCTCGTCTGCGAGTATGATGTTATAATATTTATGTCATGTGTAAAATAGTATGTGATGAACTAATACTATTTATTGATGTATTATTTTTTTGGAGCAGAGAGGTGCTAAATGATAAAAGGTCGGGCGGTAGTTCCTCCACATCGTATTGGTACATTGACTACAAATACTTTGTGGATGTGGTGCAATATCGACTTTATATGATGCATGAGCATCTTAAAGACAGTGAACAATTGGAAATTGAAAGACAAACGTTTCAATGCAGTGACCCCGAATGTGGACGAGAGTATACTGCTTTAGAAGCACAATTACTACTGATGCCAGGACAATTTCAATTTCGTTGTGGACATTGTAACGAACTGCTGCTTGAATGTGACAATAATGACCGACTGGAACGGATTCAGAACTTGCAACACAAATTCAAAGACCAGATGAACAAACAAGACGGCATGCACGAAGGAATTTACGAGGTGCTTCGTCGGATTGGTGGCTTTGTAAAGGAAGGCCACGCACTGCCAACGAATTTGCCGAGTGACAATAGAGCTGCTGGGATAGGAGGCAATAGCGCCCGTGCTGCCAATGCAGCTGGAAAAGGTGGTGGTCGTGGCGGTGGCGGTGGTGGTGGAGGCAGCGGGAATCGTGCCGATGAAGAGAACAGCCAGTCATACTTGTATCCGTACGGTGCACAGGACCAGGAGATTATCGTGGATATTGCTGGCAATGACCAGGCAGAAGACGAGTATTTAACAAGCAGGGATCGAAAAGAGGACAAAGAGGCAGCAAATCAGAAGGTTGCAGCCCCACGGGCGCTGCCAGAGTTTTTGCTTGGTAGCTCTATTAGTGGTCATATGGCAGCGAAACACTTGCAGTCCGCCGCTGCTGCTGCAGAAAAAACAGCAATTGCTGTAGAAAGTAGCATTCAGGGTGTGGACCCTCTTGCTCAGAGCGAGATGACGGAGGAACAACGGCAGGAAGCGTTCAAGCGTGCGTATATGGCAGAACTCGAGCGTTACAACGAAGAGAACCATGAAGGAGAGGTGCAGGTACAGGTAGACAAGCAGGGCTGGGATGATGAAATGAATGGAGATGCTATGGATGAGGAAGACCTGGAAGACGTTGAGTGGGAGTGGTACAACGACGACGAAGGTGGCAGTACCGACATTGAGGTAACCGTCAATGGCCAGTCCAAGCGACTGGATGGTGTGGATGACGACGATCTGCTGAGCATGACGGAAGAAGAGTTTCTGGTAAGTGGTTTACTCTCTTTTGGTCAAAACGTGAGGAGAGAATACTGAAAAAGTTTGTACTGCTTTGGAATGATATGCATGCAGAGCTGCTACCGGATGTGCCTAGCTGAAAACGATGAGTCTCAGCAATCTGTAAATGGACGCATGTAAAATTGGCGCAGAGCGCAACAAGCGAGCAGCTCATCGAAGTAGTCAAAACTGATGGACGAAAAGCGACACGCTAGAATGCCCGTGCTTTGATCAATAGGCTTGCCCATCACGTAGCACAGCGGCTGTCATGGATGTTATACTACTACAGCCCGACCCGACGCCGACGAGACTCGTTGTGGTGGTGCCAAATACTTGTAACGAAAGTAAATCCGTCGTCTGAATGATCGACGTTAATGTTTGCTTGCTGTGAAGGTGTTTTCTTCCGATCAACCTCGACGTGCAGTATGCTCTCGCATGACAGCTATCATCGTGGGGGTAGAGTACATACCAGGATCGTTGAGCATGCGTGTCATATTTTCCGGCTCTGCGCTCTTTTTGTAGACCTCCACCATTGCGCCGACGTTCGACAGTCCTCCATCGGGTCCACCTGCGTTCATCGCCCCAGCAGTCAATATGTACGAAAGCGTAGACGATGCAAATAACTGACAATGAATCAATGCTGCATTTAGGTCGGACCGAAGTCTGTGGATCAGGAGGAAGAGTATGAGCACTTTCGACCAGTCTTAAAAAAAACGAATGTAGGCCCATCAAATGTTGACACCGACACTTGAACCCTTCGTCCCGTACAGAAAATTATCATCACCTACACGCGTGCTCTTGGCGTACGAGCAACAACACAACTCCTCCATTCTCCATCTCTCCACTTACTCGACTACAATTTTCTCCTTCAATTGTTTCGACATTTTCAACGTCTCGAGCTGTTCAATCAGCTCGAAATTCCCAACAACTCGCAATGTCTTGAGCTTTGTTAACGTCTCAAGCTGCTTCACTGGCAATGTCTTGAATTTATTATACTGAACATCCAACGTCTCTAGTTCCATGAGCTTTTCCACGTCCGTCGATAAGATGGTCAATTGATTTTCCTGGACGTTCAAAGTCTTTAGATTTTGAAGCGTGTAGACGGCATCAGGCAGTGCACGAAGCTGGTTATGGGACAGATCAAGATGTTGCAGTCGTGGAACACGTTCCAGCGCGAGCGATAAGCGACAGATACAGGCGTCACCTACAAATTCACACATGAGCTGGTGACAGACCAAGTCATTGGAATTCCGTAGCTGTAACTCCATGACTCGAGCACCCGAACGCGCAATATCACGCAGAGATGTTGCCAAGACATTGTCCAAGGTCTCTGCAAGAAATCGACGCTGGAAACGAAGATGCAGAGGCAAAAAAAGAGCTCGACGTAGCAGCATGACGTGGACCAAGCGAGGTTACGCCGTCTTGTACAATATATTGCTTTCCACTATTTTATTGGTATATTTAACTGAGAGCGCACTAATGGTGCATAGGTTTACTTACCAAAAACGTGACGGGTGTAAGTAATTTATTATTTATTACGGTATATATTTGTCGTCCTCAAATCTCAAAATTTAAATTCTCAGACAGCCCAAATGTCACCTAAACGGGAAGAATTCGCTCCGCGTCTCGAGTGGCAGCAGCGTCATACGCAGGCATTAAAGGATACAGCCGAGTCTCTGCAGATTGGAAGGGCTACGGCACATACGCTTAGTATGCAGACCGAGCAGCTTGGTCGTAGTGAGCGTGTGGTAGACGAGACGCAAGCGTCAGTGGACATGTCGAAGCGTATTTTACTAGGAATGTCGTGGTCTGGTTGGCTGTATAATAAATTTTCATGCTCGCAAGTTTCGACCAATCAAAAGACAGATGAGGTATACACCTGTCAAGTGTGGCAAAACGGTTTTTTTTGTTGCAATTTTTTTTACTTCGCTGATATTTTTCATAACCAAATTATTTTTCGTGTAGATTATTATGGGATTTATTTGTCCTGAGTGTAAAATATTATTCAAGTCTCCGGAACAATTGGGGATGCATTATAATACGAAGCATGAGAACAAAAAGGAAGAAACAAGGACAAAGGTGGATACAAGATGGACGGAAGATCGAAAAGTACAAGAACAAAGTCAAAAAAATACTGGAAATGTTTCGGAGGAGGATATACATGACAAATTTATTCGAAATTTGGAGCCACAATTGATAGAGATGAAGGAACAAGCATTAGCATTTGGAAATGCATTGGATATGCAGAATCACCAGCTGGATCGGCTCGATTCGAAGATTGGACGAGTCCATCATGACATGAAAAAAGTGGGAATTCTCGTAAACAAAATTGCAGGAACGAAAATGCCCGTGGAATTTCGCTTTCGATGTGCTTTTCAAGAGGTACAAACTGGAAAATTCTTGCAAGATGTAGACGGTGAAGCGCTGTTGGGGTATGTAACGTAGCAATATGTAGCTGATGGGTAAGGGTTGTGTCTGTAGTGCAATGTTTACTGACAGATCGATGATTTCACATTTATGTTTCTAGTGCTGACGCTGTGGTAGCTGGTTGTGCATTCCGTGCTTACACACTCGGTGATGACAGCGATGTCTGGGGCTTTCAAAGTGAAAAGTCAAGCTATTTCTTGGGTATCAATCGGTATGGAAATTTAAAGGTGCGAGGTGCAGATTTGAACTCGTATGAGCAATTTCTCGTGGAGAGCAAAGCAAGCACTCCTATTTTTTCCTTATCGAGCTTTTTTGGGTTTGGCGGTTGGATTGCCAGGAAAGGATCAGCGGTTGACAACAACTACCTTACCATTATTCGAGGATCACCTGAGAACAAATCGTCTGCTGCTTATTTTGAAATCGTTATCTTGGAGGATGGAATAAAGGAGACGAGAAAGAAATGAAAACGGTTTGGATATCAAAGGACGCAACGACTTGAAGACATGCACGAGATCTACTCACTAATAATTTAATACTTTGGATGGCATCTTTCCACGTATCAAGATCAACATTTATGACATGGGGGTTGGCCTGCAGTTTTCATGTTGGTCAAAAGCTCTGTACTGGTCTTTGTGGAGTACAATTCTGTTTGTTATCTTACGCAAAGCCGTTAAACTACGATAATGCAGGTGATGTACCCCAACGAAAGAATGCTAAGAACTGGAAGTGCAGGCTGCTCAGTAGCATGGCTACACGTAGGTATATGCTAATGCTTTATCCGTCACAGAGGTAGTATTTGTCACGTGCAGTTACGAGACGGCACGCGTTGTGAATGCCGTGCTCTGTCTGCGCTTAGTGGCGATTGTGACGCGACTTTTTCTTCTTGGACGCACGACGGAACTCTTCATCTCCGTCATCGTCATCGGGTCCACGCTTTTCGTTGCGCATGCGATCGGATGCCTGTGCTTCCTTCTCCAGCTCGTCCCAGGACGGCGCGTCCTCCTCCTCCTCTGACTGTACCTCGGATGACGATTCCTCGTCCACAATGGACTCCCAGTCCGAGCCGTCGGAATCACTCGACTCACTCTCGTCTACATCGTCGTCCGACGCGCCCGAGTAGTTGCTGTCTCCCGCTTCTTCCTCATCTTCGTCTTCATCATCGGAGCCTTCCATCTACTCAGCACAAACAGCAATGTAAGCAACAATATCAATTCAATCCAAACAACTTGGTAACGCACTTTGAGAAACTCCCATCCAGCCGGCTTCGGCACACCGTCATCGTCTGTGTCCAGGTAAAAGCGGTTGTCGCTTTTGATCGTGGACATGATACTCTTCCAGTTCAGGTTCGCAGTTCCCGTGGTGAAGCAAATATCAATGTCATCCAGCCATTCCTTGATACGCTCCAGTTCGCTCATGGATACAGCACTGATACGCGTTGGCATGATATCAAAGTTTTTAAAAACGAACACGACGTCGAAGTTCTTGGACGAGAACATGACACGCTCGAAATGAACGTGTTCCACCTCATCCAGTGAAATGATAAAGAAGGGCATATCGGTAAGACTCACAAGACAGTGCACTGACGGCTGTAGCAGCACCATTTCCTTGAACGGCGTACCCATGAAGCCGAGTTCACGGTAGGGGATGTCAAATACCACAGACTTCCCATGTCGTTCCGACACACTTTCCATCTTGTGACAAAACTCTTTAAAAGTCGTGTTTAGCTTCTCACGCAGCGCACGCTCGCGGTTCTCCTCGTCCAGCTCATCAGGGTCGTACATCGATCGCCGCCGGTTGTCAAGTGTCTGCGAGCCCTCGATTACTTCGGTGTAGAACTGTACATCCTTCTGCTTCTTCTTGCCGATCATGATGTGGTTCTTTAGGTGAAAGTGAATCAGTACGACAAGCTCCTTGTCACAAGGCTGAAAGATCGCATGCTTAATGTTTGCGTACAGTATGTCTAGCTTTTGGTTCTTGTTTGTCGTGAAACGCACACCATTCGAGTGCGCCTCCAGCGTACCGTGCGTCTTACGACCTGTCAAGTGCGGTCGAGCCGACAGGTCAATCAGGCGCGGCACACGTCGATCGCGCGTCAGGATCAGGTCCTCCTGTACGACCAGGTCGGACTCTTCTTGTTCTCGTTGTTCACGCTGCTTTACACGTTTTTGAAGTTCCTTTATCAGACGGAATTGGTTGTTCAGGTTGTGTGCGTCGGTGGAGCGGAAGCCGAGCTCCTTAATAAACATCTTGTTTGGGAACTTTGTAATCGCGTTCGCCATGGCTGGAAGGACGTCGCGTCCTAAAGACGTTCCAGGCACATAGAAGTTGATACGTAAGTATGTCGCCTTGTCTTCCTCAGACTTACTCACATTCTTAATAGTCGAAATGTGAAACGGCACGGGAACTCCATTGATAGGTAGTATAACCGCCTCGGCGCGCATGTCCACCATAACCTGACGCTCACGCAGCTCAGAGGGATAGTACTGTGGACCCGAGTAAGCCTTAATGCTCTTCTCCTTTTTTGGGTCATCCGAGTTGTCGTTATTCTGCTCCTCCAATCGTCGCATAGCCTCCTCTCGCTTTCGCCGCATCAGCTCAGCCTGATGACGATCACGGCGCTCCTGGTCTGTTTCTTTGCCTTCGAGCTGCCGTTGCTGGTCACGAAGACGTGATTGCAATACTTGGTTGCGCGTACCAGCAAGCGATGTGTCAACTGCTGAGCTGTCCTTGGTCTTGCTATGCTTCTTCTTTGTTTTTTTCTCCTCCATATCATTGTCATCGTCAATGTCGTATCGCACTTTGGTCCATGCTTTCGGTACCTTCGTATAATACTTTGTCTCACTTTCCAACACCACTACAGTATCGGCAAGAAAAACCGCGTAACTATCAAGCTTTTTCTTCTTGCGTTGTGATTCTGGGATCGGAATATCATTGAATCCAAACGCCACATTGAATGCCATGCCTTCCTTGATCACCGTCTGATTCTTGGTAGTAAGTAAATTGCAAGACTCGCGGAACTCTAGTCCGATACCAAACCCGAGGTTCTTTGTAAGTTTGCTAAAGAGTGTCGCGTTCCTCGACTGGATGAATTTGCGTACCTTTTCCACCACTTTTCCTACCGTCTTTCCAGGCTGCAGCTCTTTCACACACAAATCATGCGCTTCACGCAGCAATTCGTACGATTTTTCCATCGAACTGGTCGGGTCAATAAAGAACGTACGTCCAACGTTCGAACAGTATCCTTTGTACCTTGCACCAAGTGAACAAATGATCACGTCATATTTCATCGGATCTCGATTGCTTTGTGCACTTGGTTTCAAATCATATATCCCACCCGACTGGACAATCGGTGGATAACACGGTTCAATATCCACGGGATCAATCGTTACTTTAATCTTGGATGGATTATCAAAAACATCTTCAATAGCCATGGAAATTTTTTCATGACTGATACTTTTTTCATCGTCAATAATTTGTTCCATATCTTCCATAAACTTGAGTTTAAATACTTTACTCGATAACGCTCCAGCCCATCGAATATTCTCCAATTCTTCACTTTCCTTGACTGTCAATACCATTTCAATTCCTTTCCCAATTTCCACTTGTTCCACCTTCGTAGCCTCTAATTCCTTTTTAAAGCTCGCTACAAGTTCTCCAAGTGGATTTTCCTTGGTCAAAACACCCGTCTTTGGTCCACTGGCCTTAATGGCGTCAATCAAGACGGTAAAATTGGCCTTGTTCTTGTCTGCTTTGTTCCGTTTCAGCAGTTCCAATGTAATGTCCGACGACAGATTTGCTTGTGCCACGACCTCCAACATTGTATACTTTTTACCCCCCGTGAGAATATAAAGTTTCCGAGGTGTAAACACCATCAACGTCTCGGGAAACTCTAAAAACCCCAGTAAATAAATCTGCAACACGGCCGACTTGCGATACCCGGATTCCTCTTGCTGGGCACGTCCTGCAAGGACACAGAACGAATCCACCCCACCCCAAGCTGTCTCCTGTCGATGGACCTGTTAAAACCAATACCTGTTAAAACGAATATCACCTATCAGAGGTATCCATGGCCACAACCACCTGTTTACCTTCCAGGAACGATAGAGACGATCCAACCGTCGAAAGAACAAGGATGCATTCAAACGAGGTTCATTCGTCTCGATCGTGTCGTTCGAGACGCTCGTTTCCATCTTCATCTCGTGCTTTATTTCTACCATGTCTTTGTGCTCTAAAATAGCGTTACGTCCTTTATTCGAAAACCAAAAGAGTGACGTCGGGTGGTGGCCGGCCACCCCCGGATAGAAACGTTTCTATGTAGTATACATCAAGTATACGTCTACGTGTACTCATGTGGTCCACGCTGGTCCCTGATCCCTCTCAAACTTAATGCACCTGTATTCTCCGTCATGCAGTTACAGACATTAGCGTACGCCATTTCCGGGGCGTTTACGCTTCTTTCGATTATTCTCTCGGGATGGCTCATTTGGACTCATTTACTGTATAATCCATCGGCTCGTATACGTAAACATGTGATTCGTATTCTTCTTATGGTCCCCATCTATGCTCTAACGTCGTATATGGCATTAGTATTTAATGACTCCAAGCTCTTGTTTGAAACCGTGCGTGATTTATACGAAGCTTTTGCTTTGTACTCCTTTCATTGTTTCCTAGTGGAATATCTTGGTGGTCAGTCGGTTTTAGCCAGTACCATGCGGTCAAAGCCCGAGATGACGCATGTTTTTCCCTTTTGTTGTGTCCGGTCGTGGTCCATGGGTGGCAAGTTTTTACGTCAGACGACAATTGGCATCTTGCAATATATTCCCATTAAATTATTAATGAGTATTGTCATGCTGATTACAAGTGTTGCGGGGGTGTATGGAGAAGGGGAATTATGGAATCCACTTGTGAGTTACAGTTATGTCTGTTTGATTCTCAGTGTATCGCAAACATGGGCACTTTATTGTCTTTTGATTTTTTTTCATGGAGCTCATGAGGAATTACAACCAATGCGTCCATGGCCGAAATTTCTAGCAATTAAAGCTATTATTTTCTTTACCTATTGGCAATCCGTGATGATTAGTGTATTGGTGAGTCTTGGAGTGATTTCGGAAAAATGGCATATTGGATGTCCAGATTGCTGGAATGCACAAAAAATTGCTTCGGCATTAAATGATTTTGTCATTTGTGTTGAAATGCTTGGGTTTGCCATTGCACACCATTATGCATTTGCTATTGAAGACTTTTTAGCACCAGCAGGGACGTCAGGGATTACTGTGCCATTTTCAAACGTCAAAGCACCATTGTTGGCTAATTTTATGGACGCAATTAATGTCACCGACGTCTCGACGGATCTCAAGAATTCGAGGAATGAAATTCTGACCAAGAAACAGGCATTGGCTGCTAAATTTGATCGGTTCAACACTTTGTCACCTCGTGGTAGTATGTTTTGAAAAAACATCTTGGATGCTTTCACAAGTAGCACTTGCAGGTGGAAGATAGTATTAGCACACAAAGGGGAGTGATACAAGAAAGACATGCCTAATTATTCCATTTTGCATTTGTGTATGTCAAAGGTGTGTTTGTAAAAGCAGAAAACAAGCAATGATACTACCCAAAAAAACATTTTTTGCGGAGCGGGTCAAGGCTCCGTCTTCTAACACCGAGAGCTTACAATCCTCGTTCTGCGTTCGCATCTTCACGGTTCCCTCCTTGGTATTTAACTACTACGATTCATCGAACGTGTCCAACATGAGACCAGTAACGACGTCGTGGTGCGACTGAGATGGCATTCATATTAGCTCATCATCATGTTCCGCGTTTGTAGAAACGCAGCACAACAGGCCGCTTGACGGCACGCAATGTCGCCATAGACGAGTGGAAAGAAGATCCGCTAATCTCCATAGGGCCAATCCATGTCAAGACGTCCCCAACCGACACCTTTTGCAGCATAGGTCCACCAGAATCCATGTCCACCTTCGTCACCTTTGGCACGTCGGCATCCGAACTGAACACGAGCCCGAGGTTAGCGTTCTCTCGCCAAATGAGTTCATACTCACGGTCTTTCATCACTGGCCCGCGTGGCAGCGATTGATTCATTTTATCCATTCGCACTGATGCATATGCCGCGGCCGATGCACGCCGGAAGCGCAATATTGCTGGCTTCGGCAAACGCGACAGGTTCTCAAGTGTCTGCTTGAACTTCGGCTGTGGTATAATATTGACGTTGTTAGCTGCAAAAAGGATATCCCCAGGCGACACATGCTCGATATTCTTGAGGTTGCTCGTGCCTGTCACGCGTGCCACCACGGGAAACCTTGTCGTTGGATGCACACGTAGCGTCAGACCAAGCGCTGTATTCTCAGGCCATACCACTTCATACACGTCATTGTCCTTCTCCAATTCCTTTTCCTTGGGTTTGCTGGCTTCATTGCTTGGTGTTTGGGGTGCGGAACCGTGGTGATTGCCACTCCGTGAAAGCGGTTTTATTGGTGTGTCGTTATCAACCGGATCGCCAGAAGACTTTGCCAGCGGAGATTTACGTAGTCCATAATCCAGGCTGCGAAGTTTATTTCGTGTATCTGCGACGTGGTAGGTCGTGTCACCCCGTTGTTCACTGCTGTCTGGGCTAGACGCCGACCGGGGTGGCGGATCCTTGGTAGTGAGCGTAGCTGGCACAGTGGTGTAATGTCCTCCTCTCGAACCCTGCAGTGAGACCCTCAATGCATTTAATGACGAAGCGCTCACTTGTCTCGCATCAAGCGCTGATCGTTTTGCTTCCTGATCAGCATGACCTCGGAATTTGCTCTGACAAAGTTCCTGAGCCTGAGTAGCTTGCTGCAGCGACTGTGACACATGCTGCTGTTGCTGTTGTTGTTGCTGCTGTTGCTGTTGTTGTTGTTGCTGCTGTTGCTGTTGTTGTTGTTGCTGTTGCTGTTGCTGCTGTTGCTGCTGTTGCTGTTGCTGTTGCTGCTGTTGCTTTTGTTGCTGTTGCTGTTGCTGTTGCTGTTGTTGCTGTTGCTGTTGTTGCTGCTGTTGCTGCTGTTGCTGTTGCTGTTGTTGCTGTTGCTGTTGCTGTTGCTGTTGTTGTTGCTGTCCCGGCCTTTCTTGATACTTCCTGATCTCATTTTGCACTTTTGAGTTGGCTGCGGTATTGCCGTTTTCTTTCAAGTAACTCATCTTTTTGAGCGGATTTATAAAGCTGCGAGGAGTAGGAAGTGGAACCGGTAGTGGCTGCACAGCTTTCGGAGGCGTTACTGTAGCAGTAGGCGTCACATTTTCAATCGCAGACGATGACGATGACGAAGACGGAGAATATGATGACGACGATAAGGTTGAGGATGCTGACGAAGATACTGGCGTTGACGAGGATGCCAGTGACGACGGTAAAGCTGTCGTGGTAAATGCCGAATGTACACCAAAAGACGGCACAGGAGCGATCGCGTCGTTGGGAGAGCCCTTCTTAAATCGAATGATCAGCGGACGCTTGGCAGTGCGTAATTTTAGCAAAGACTCGTGGAATGACAGATCCTTAACGCTTTCGTCATTAATCCATATGATACGATCTCCTGAGCTCACAAAAGATGCCACATTATTAGGCGAGCTTTTCATCTTCACCTTGATAGACTTCGCGCTGCCTAAGTCGGCAACAACCATAAACCCAGCAGCACTCGGTCGTACCGTGAAGCACAGTGGTTGTTTCTTCTCCCAAATATGATCGTATTCATCCGCACTTGGTTCAGGCCGAGCAGACATTTTCTTGTTGCCTGGACAAAAGAACAGCGATACTGGTTTCTGCACCTTTTGCAAAAACTTGATCGCTGAGTTAAAATTACCGTCTGTAGTGTTGTAGGTGCCAATCTGTACCAGGTAATGACCAGGCTGCACGTCCTGTACCTGTGGTGAGCGGTTTTTCCCAGTAATGCGCGTAACAAGAGGGTACGGCACGTCTTTACTTGCAATTAGGCTGATCCCAAGCGGGCCATCAATCCATTTAATCTCGTATTTTGCGTCCAACTTGACTGTTGGTTGCGGCGGAAATCTCTCGTTCTCCGCTGCCGTGAGTTCATCAAACTTAGCGGCGAGTTTCAATCCGATAACACTCTTGACTGTTGGCTGAACAGGTTTGACCGCCATCGGGTCCGCCATTAATCGTCGGAAAACAAGTGTGCACGGCTTGGGTACTTCTTTCAGATAAGCAATGGCATCTAAAAAATCCATATCACACGTAACTCGTTCTCCAATACGTAGCAACAAATCCCCTACATCCACGAGATGAATGCCAAAAATTGAGCTTTTGCCCGTGACTTTGGACACTGCCGGCATCATCCTCGACTGTGAATGACGCAGTCTCAATCCTAATAATCCTCCTTCCCATATTAACGTGCACATATTGCCTGTTGCATTGTTAAATATACTGGACGTACTACCACTCATGGACGTTACTTGATCCAATGACGAGCGTCGAAAATGTACAAACTCTTCTTCCGGTGGTGGTGCATGTTCATTTGGGTCCGTCTTGTCCTCCTTTCGGTCAAAATCAAATTCCATCGAATCTGCATCATCACTTAGATCATCAAAATCACTTTCATCCAGTAAATCACTAGCACTCCGTGCTCGTTCACTACCAGATGACAAAGTATCATCATTCATCAACTCATCTTCTAAATCCATGTCCAAAGACTCGAGAATATCTGCCAAACTATCTCTTCCACTACTGACACTACTAGAACTCATTGTCGACGTCGTAACTCCATTATCATTATGCTCTTGCTCATTCTCTTGCTCATTCTCCATATGTTCTTCCCGTGCTTGTTTCGACAAGGAATGACGTTCCAATGGAACAGCTCCAGATGGAATCATAATCAGATCATCAAGCATATCGAAAACATTATCACCTAAATCTGGTTCCACTTTTGATAACGAAGAAGTCAGAGACTGTCGTGCTCCAAGTTGCATACTCATTTCCATTTGAAGTTGCATTTGTTGTTGAATTTGATAATGTAAATCAAGTTGATGAGCTAATAGTTCTTCATTACTCATCGAAGAAGAAGAAGAAGAAGAAGCGTCATCGGATGACGATGCAAACATTCTTCTCGTATTTTTTTTTTATTTTACTTCCTCAGTAATGGAGTTATTGGAATTCAAAAAGAGGGGGAAGAGCGACTGACGGAGAGCTGTCTAGTTAATTATATCGGTCGGTATATGTAGTTTAACAATGATGCGTTTTATATATATACTGTATATATAAATAAAGAGAGAGGAGGGGGGAGGGGGGTTGTATACTGCGAGGTCTCCAGTTTTAGCATGCGACTAACCCTATTTCTCATAAGGATAAGGGGACTGTGAACCAATGACACAACGAGGTTGAGTCATAAACGAGGCGAGACATACATTGTCACATCTTTTGGAAAGTTATTTATTATCGTAAAAAAAGAAAAAGGTTTAATTGATGTATATGAAAACATAGTGAAAGGATGTTGTAAAATGTATTGATTGGATAAATGATGACCAGGTATTGGCGAGAAAAATTCGGTATGTCGATTGTCGACATGGTGCAGTTCTTTTTATAATATAGTCTAGTATAGTAGTGTCGAAACGAAAAAATGTCCTGGAAGAACAAGAGCTTTTGTTATTTGTGACTGTAGTTAGTTGGTAGTGGTAATAAATGGCATGTAGATGCATCTTTTTTAGAGTTAAAAGGTTTCAAGTAGATGAAGACAAAGCAAAACGTCGCAATAGATGGCAGAATAAACACGAAAAGACAATCATTAGATGTCTGACTGTCTGAGAACGTTCCTTCAAGCAAAACGTGGCATTGCGATCGTCACATGTTGAATAAAGTTGGTAATGGCAGTGCATTTGAATAATGGTGGAAAATCGTCGTGCGACGTGTCGGTGGTGGACAAAAGGACGACGGGCTCAATTGAACGAACAATGCAAAGCTTTACATTAATGTACGGAGCAACATGACACGGAAAACGCACGAGGAAGAATGCGGGAGGCAGAAGCACCATCAAGGAACCGACTCTGGCTATGGCGATTTTTGCTACAGATACGACTCATCAAGTGAGGAACGGGAAGCGGATCTACACAGAACAAGGAATCATGAAGCAAGCCTTGAAATAGTGGCCACGACCATTGGATAGCCGATGAGACAAGGGGCACGTATGGCAATAGATGAACACTATTTGCTGTCGGTATCCACGAGATCAGTTGAGCCAGCAGACACATCGGTACAAAAGACTGTCACCAATTGCCGAGTGCCAGTGGATGAGACATTGTCTGTACGCGCCGCTAGTGACGAACCCACGACGGCTTCGATTTGTCGTTGGTAAACGACAGGAAATTTGCCACACACGACAAGAAAATGAAAAAGTGAGTCAAGAGTCTTAGGTTGGATACGACGATAACGATCAGTAAAGCAACTGGCTCAAGTCGCTGTTACCGTGGCTCATTTGCGCGTAGTGACCAATATATTGAGCCTCATAACACGGCATCTCGGTTCACAAAGTATAGCCAGGACCAGCAGGTGCCGACAATACGAGCGGGCTACGTGACTTGTCCTCCTATTTCCTGTTGTTTGTCATGGGCGGACTCTTTTACAAACATGCTTTGAATATCGGCTAAGATAACGACAAGCTTCCACGGGTACGCTGCCTTCGTCTGTCCTAAGTAGACCTTAGATTGCTGCAAAGTGATCAATGTTCTCAGTCACGCAGACAGATTTGAAAATCCACAAATTTGATGATCAACTAGTCCAGTAAATTCCGTCCAGCACGGAATGCAGCTTGAATCCAGACGAAACGTTGATCCAAGGCGTGCCTGTGGACTTGCGCACAAGCACGAGTTTGGGAAGCCAGTGATCGATTTCCTTGGAATTAGATCAATAAACGTGATCATCGACAACAAGCTCCTGCCCTGCTCTTCCTGAGCTGTCATGCCAGCTTAAGCGTCCTCTATCTACACAAATTTCTTGGTGTTCCTTTGATAGCGATGACGTCCTTTACTTCGATGCTGCAACGGTGGCTTACTACAATATGCGGGACGTAATCGCTGTCGGCTTCGACAGGCGATATCTGCTGAATTGATCGCAATGTCTTCCTTGCGAGATCAGGCTACAACCGAAAAGATGTTTAAATATGAATCCAAGAACTATCGAGCGATTGATCCCGCTGACATATTGACCAAGAGCGTGTCAAGGGCCTACACGATTGCTCCGGTTGTGGTGCTGGTGGTGTACAGTATGAACTGCTATGGGAAGTTGAATAGCCTTCTCAATAAGATGCCTACGCCGGCATCATGGTAGCTATCACATGCTGGCCCCTTCATGGTTACGACATTGTCGTCGGCAAAACTTTGTCCCTGCCCACGATTATTATGATACACCGCCAAGACAAATGCTGCTGGCAAGTATCGACGCAGACGGATGATGGAGAAGATGCCAACCCACTTTCCAGATGTGACTGTCTAAGCCATCGTTGTGCTACTAAGAACATGACAACCAGGTCATGTACAGCTATCGCTTTGACAGCATTGATCTTTTTCTATGACATTCTACCAGCAGCACCTGAAGCATATGATCGACAACAAGATCTATTCACGGTCGTAACGCAGGTCTGTCATCTATACACGTACAAGCTTTTCTGTGCCGAGCCAATGTCCATATTGATTATTAATAGAAAAACCGATGGGAAGATGCCTGCCCTCCCCCCGTCCATTGATTCAAATCTCCTGCTCCCTGTTTCATTCCAACAAATGCCAATTCGTGGAGAATGCCAAACGCTTTGTCCGTTGAAAGAAAAGGTGGAACGGAGTCGAACCCATGAACTCAGTCGCTTTGAGTGTCCAACTGCAGATTTTCAAGGACTCGAAGCGATCAAAAAATATCGTCGAGCTGCTGCAGGTCGTGATGTTGGGGATGCATCTGAATTGAGACCAGCGTCCGTACTCTTGCGTACATTGCGTCACTTGTTTACGACAGTACTATCGTGGCCTCAGAGTGGCTTTGATGGTCATGAACCTGCTCGATCGGATGAGTTTCTAGCAGTCTATCACTTTGTTAATGATCGTATACGTAGTGTCCGACAAGATTTTACAGTACAGGTAGGGGATTGACGGTGACCACCTTGTCAGGACACTTCACTGACCTTTTTTTCTTGTTGATTGGTCATGCGAAGCGAATTGAGGACGCGTCATTAGTGACGGCACTGCAACAGATATCACGGTTCCATTTGTTGGCAAGATTGCGTTCAATGCAGCTACTAAAAGCACAAGAATGGAGTGACAAGCTGAATGATGAACAATTGACATCAGCTCTTTCACAACTACAGGTGCTGTATAAAGTGCACGGGTTTGTACCAGAGCATGAGGATGTTCCAGAATTGAAGGAGACAGGGGCGTTTGTGGCGTACAACTTGCTGCTGCATGCGGACAATCCTCAAAACGTGGCTTGGATGGTACGCAAGTGTTCACTGAAACTACGTGCCATGCCAATGGTGCAACGAGCTCTACGAACATTTGTGGCGTTGCAGACGGATGACTTCGCTGCGTTTTTCACCGAGTTGAATGCCATGACGTTGCTGGAACGAGCTGCATCGCTGCATCATCTTGAAAAAGTTTGGACGCGTAGTTTGCGCATGATAAACAAAAGCTTTGGCAAACAGGATCGCTTTCCACTGGAAGACCTTGCACGTTGGATGAACCTGGTGGATCGACACAGTGAACACGAGGGTAGCGAACTTGCCGAGAGACTTTGCAACGCCTTGAACATCCAGACGCAGCGCCATCGACCACCACCATTACCAACTCGAAGTGATACTGGTACTGTAGCCGAGTCTTGGGAACAAGTCGATGATGGTCTTGCTGATCAAGTTGTATCGCTGTCAGTGACAAAACCATCTTCGCTCGGGTTTGCTCAATTCAAACTCGCACCACTGTATGACCAGCTCGATTCGGATGCGGCGAGACTGCTACTTCGCGGCGTTGCTCTTCGAATTGAGAACAATTCTGCTGATAAAAACGCCCTAGTGACGACGACAGAGCTAATCATGGGGACAGCACAAGACATTGGTGCACATTGTTAGGCGCCTGGTGTTCGTGAGCAGGTTATTTCTTCGTTTTTAATTGATCGCTCACGTACAACAAAAGCTCACTCAAAATGCAAAACCGCAGCAGCTTACTTCCGTACTCAGCGCCGGTAGAATTTGGGAACAAGACTGCCATGCTTTTTTCCCGTCGCTTTCACTGTGAATCACCGCTGCCCATTATTCTGCATACTGTTTTTGTTGAATCGTCATAGTCGGTGTATGTAGTATGCTCCTTGTTACAGCGCACGACGAGCTGCGTATCATGGGCAGAGCGGGTCTGCTCGGAACGTGGTGGAAGTGTACAACCAAATCACACCTTGGTTTTCTTCTTAGGAGGCGGCAAACTATCAAGTGCATCAAAGCTCAGCTCCACCTTGGTATCCTGCAAGTTATCCAAGTCGCGATACGACGTCGACACTTGGCGAGGGTCCGTTGGCAGCTCGCTGTCTGGAACTCGCGGCCCAGCAGGTGGAGGACCGCGCAAAGGTGATCGACCGTACCCACCGCCGCCATTGTGTCGGGGAGGCGAGCGCGGCGGTCGATCAAACGACCCTCTTCGCATGCAATCATCGCGCATTGGCGGAGCGCGACCGCGGAAACCATCGTCGCGGTAGAATCCTCGGCCACCACCGCCACCAAAATCTCGGTCAGGGCGTCCACGATAACCACCTCCATTCCGACCACCATGGTGGCCTCCGCGTCCACCAAGCACGGCACCACCAGACATGCTGTTGCTAGTTTCAAGTGGGGGCATCGGATGATGTTCATCCTCACGGTACTGCTCCCACATGTAACTCTCGCCAACTTCGGCAACCTTATCTACCACCAGTTCCGGGTGCTTGTTGCGAATGTGCTTCTTCACAAAGTCCATGGCCTTGAAGAGCTTAGTACATAAGCGACAACGATGCTTGCCGTCATCACTGGCTTTCTCGCCATAGTTTGCGTACGTGCTTTCCAGTGCAGCCTCTTCGCGAGCTTCAACCTCGTCAACCAACGCACGGTTCTTAGTGCGCTTAGCTTCCACGACTTCCGGCGCCAGCTCCTTCAGATACGCCTGCACCTTTTCATCCAAAGCTGACGCCCATCCACCAATAGCCTTAGCGGTCTCTCCTGTCGTGGCGGAAACTGACGAATCCTTTTCTCCTGTTTCCGTATTTGCTGCGTTGTCCTTGTTTTCTTCTGTTGTAACATCGTCCGCCGATATCGCAGCACTGGTTACCGCAGCTTCCTGTCGAGCCTTCTCTTCTTCAATATCACGAGCTGAAGGCGGAGGGCGGCAAAACAGCGCAGGATGGGCATGCATGATATCGCCCATATCGAGGCACTGCACACCGGCATAATAAATATAGTGGTGCACCCGGCGCAAATACGCCACGACAACATCCAGCTTCTCCTTGTCAGTTGAGTAGCTTTGCGCAACCTCCTCTGATGTCAGCAGAGCCTCAACACCGAAGCGTGCCAGCTTCTCTTTGGCATTGTGAAACAAACGTGCGTCCAAAGCCTTTGCCAACGCAAGAGACTGCTTGTAGTCGGCAGTCAGACGTTCAGGTACCGACAAATACGAGGGAGTCTTGAGCGGCGCACGAGCACGGTGAGGAGACACCTGAAGACGAAATGGCGGGAACTGGTTACCATCTTCAACAAACGTGTTATGAATCTTGGAAATAGCGTCACTCGCAGCAGCCGCACTCTCGTAGATAATGTACGCTGAGCGGTCAAAGTCAAACGCACTTTTTTTCGCCGGGTCTGACAAGTACAAATGTACAAAAGGACCTCCCTACAGAAAAAAAAGAAAAAAAGCCTAGTCAGTCCTGCTCAGCCCTCTCATTCTCAAGCAAAAGATATCACGCATACCGCTTTCTTGATAGTCTCACTAAGTGTACCAACAGGGCAAGCACATGGCACACGGCGTACGTACAAGACCCGTGCACTATGCTCAAGATCATTGGCAAAATCTTCGGCCATCGAGGTTCCTCCATTGTCAATAGATATTTGTTCATCAAGACAAATCTTGGCTGTTCCCGTGCGTAGACGTTCATGAAACTGTTGGGCTTCACTGATTTGTTGCGTTGTCTTGTGTTTCTCAACACGATGACGTAATGCCGGCGAATAACGTTCTTGCATCCATTCTTCCCGTTTGTGCACTTCAAAAAATGCACGTAAAACACGTTGTACGTGTTTCTTCTTGTATTCTTCATACCGTTGTTGATACACTTCAGGTGATGACTCATCCGTTTGTCGCATCATCCAAATTTTATAAGATAACAGAGGTTCCGGCAATGACGATGAAGGACGTGCGTCACGACGAGACGGTCCAGCGTCATCGAAACGAGGTCCCGACTCCCAATCGGGTGGTGGACCACGACCACGACGTGGTGGACTGCGACTGCGACTACGATTACGTGGTCCACGGAATCTCATATCGTAATTTTCTCGACTATTACTACGGTACCTTATACATTAATAAAATAAAAGAGAGTTTTGTCAGTATAAAATTAAAGAGAATATTACAATAAAAAACATATCAAATATGAGAAGTTTTACCGGCCACGAAAGTCGTCACGTCCATAAGGTGGACGTTGATCCGGATATGGACCCCCATTCAGAGGGGATGGGTTACCTCCTCGGTGATCCATTGGATGAAAATCCTCGCGCATTGGCGGCTCTGCCTAGAAATGGGGGGAGGATGGATAGAAATACGTTTAGAAATGGAGCAGGCAAACGGATGTTTGGGTTAGTTTATATATGGGTACAAGGAGGTCCTAGAGATGTAGCGGATTGAGTAAAGATGTCTATTGACGTACCATTAGAAGTCTAGTGGTAATGGGGAAGGAGAGATGACGTCCAATACGTCGATGAGGCTTGGAATGAGGTCGCACTTAAGGCTTTTTGAAGACTGCAAAGCGCCGTCCACCACTTTAAGCTTTGACGTACCGATAAAATGGTACATTACATATGAACATTGTCATGATAGTAAATCTAAGAGTCAAATTGTGCTAAAGAAAGTGTTTTGTTTTGTTGCAATGTACTGTTTTAGCGACAATTATACTTGATTATCAGCAACTTAAGGTTTTGGTCCTCAATTTTGCGTCCTACAACGTTTAGCGTCAAATCCGTCACAATTCTTAAGATTATGTACGCTAAATGCTACAAATAAGCGAGCTTTTCAATTGTTGACATGTCCGCTCGAACCTTTACAATTACCCAAGACGTCTTTAAAGTTGTCCGCCACACCGCTAACATGACAGCTTCGTTGGGCCCTCTTATCTCGTACTGGTGTGGTCTTTTTACCAAAACACGAACCACGAATCAATATGTAAAAACCGTCCTCTATTCTGCACAGGATTCATCCATCATACATCCTCTGAAGACTTGTTCGGCGACGATTGTTTACTCAGAAAAGGACTATAGTCGGTATAGCACTGATTAAACATCTTGTCGACTTCATCACGTGCTCCTGCAGGAAACATGGACTACAAAAACATCAGTTAATAATGTACGAGCCAAAGACAAGATATTCTACAACTTACACTTGTAGAGCGGACAGCGTGTTCACGAACACAACGTGCATTAAGCCATCGGGCACTTTTCTGAAAAAACTCGACATCCGGCAATACTCTCTCCAACAATTTGGCTCTTTGATAGCACTCGGACTCACGCGCCGATCGAATCTCACTACAACCACAAAATCATATCAATTAGCACTATAATAATCGTCAAACTATTAATTTAAAGAGTTCACCTGCAGGCCAAGATGTCCAATTTGGTGATGTCCATCTTTCGTACCGTAAACTGCAATGATGTAAACCACCCCACAAACTGTGTCATTAGTGACATGTCACAAAAGCAGCATCAACACGAAGACGTCCATTTTGGCCAATCAACGCACATCGTATGCGTGGATGAGCTCGTGTACCATGGTTTCCTCCACTTCTTGAGCTGAATGCAGTCGATTGGCACAGAAGACAACGGTAGGTGGTGGTGCAGAGAAGAAAGCGCGAGCTTTGCCTTCGGGTCCTGTAATAATAAATGCAAAGAGTTCATTTTTCACTTTGTCTCTCAAATTTTATATTATTGTTGAAATGGCACGTACCGTCGTCTCGACAGTCAAGACATACAAAGTCGATTGCGGGCACGGTGCTCTTGCCTTTAGTATGCTGTTGGGCTAAGAACTAAGTACGAGTATCAAATATGACGTTAATTTCGGTACACACTATATTAAATATGAGAGAGAATATGCACAGCTCGCCTGCCTTGTTAATGATGCTCACGATGTACTGCGGTCGACGCTGCTGTAGTGCTACATGCACTGCATCCTCGCACTCGTACAGCTCCATGCTCGTCGTCGTGTATTCAGGATCTTGTCTGATCGGACGTTAGCGTCTTCGCACGCGAGCACGTCCGTATCATGCAAACATCCGGTCGTTGCCATGTTTGCCACACCAAAGTTGCGTTCTCCACACATAACTTGCGTCCACCACACCAAAAGATTACTTTTAATTTAGGAGTCGGAGATTAAGCTCACCCATATTAATAGATTCAATATCCTAGGGAGACGTGGCGTCGTCGCTTTCGTTGCGTGACCCAAACGACCTGTTTCGGTATTAGCTGGGTGATAGTGCTAATTAATTGGACAACTTCACCGATACTTGTGTCACGAAGGCTGCATTCGAAGTAGCAATGTATACAAAAGGGATAGCTCAGATGCGCTGCTATATGCGCGAAAAATGAGCTAGTGTCCAGAATATCGGTGGTAAGACGACATAAATTCGGTACACGGAAACTTGACCGTTGCAGCTAGTGAAAGCCTGAATTGACGTGTGTAGACAGACATCTGTATTTTTTTGCTAAGAGCTCTAACGCGCCATCAAAGATTTTTTTTGCATATAGACCAACCGGCATATTTAGATTTCTCTAGCGGCCTGTTACTTGTCCTCTTCGGCAAAGCTTACAGATATCTACCTAGTCATGGCTTACGTGCCACGGACGGGCGTTTCTGCCACAAACTCTGGGTGCCGGATAGCCCCAACCATTTTTAATTGGGATTTCATGCTTCTAGGCAAAAATGGTGTGTAACACATTTATTTCGGAAGGCACCAAAGGGACAGACCGATGCCGTCAAAGAAGCTTGCACAACATCATGACCTACCTTAAGAGCATTTTATATGTAAGTGTGTTGTTTCAGACCACTATAATTCTTTGTGTATAATTCGCTCTTACGTCAAAAGTCCACTCTGTCCATAGTGTCTACATATTAAAAGAGAACTAACAAGCTGAAACAACGAAATTTGGTCACGTCCACTCTGGGAGGAATTTCCAGTTGTTCTACAGTCGGTAACTGCAGCTGCAAACAGTCTTCATTCATATTACTGTGTCCACACCGAAACTCTGATGTCTCAAATTGGAACGTTAGCAGTACTCCTGCAAATTCGAGAATGCTGTTGACCACGTCCACTGTGAATTGGTGCTGCGCTATGATGGACGCGATATACAGGATCTCGTCCATTGAGCGTAGCTGAATCGTAGATGCCTGCTCTTTCTGTGTCATCAAATGCACCTCGTGGGCCGAGAAGATCGCGTCGTCCACGAGGAACACGCCTTCATCAGTACCAGACACCATAGCTTGGGCTTGTTGTAGGTTTCTATTCTCATTTGAACGCTATTCTGGCAGCCCTGTCGTTGTACGAAGGTGAAGGTAATTTTTTAAAAGCTCTAATAGAATGCATTATGGAAGCTTGCGCTATAAAATGTAGACGGGCACTTCTACGAAGTTGCCTCATGCTACTAGCTAGCACACACCTTATGCACAAACGAGGAAGCGGTTAGACCGTCTTACTTTCGCGTGCGAGGGTGGCTGTGTGGTTGGTCGACTTTAAGCAGTCGTACCACCAGTTGCCTCTCGCTTAAGCGAGAGTGCAACGAGCTTCTAAGACAAGAAGACATTGACGTCACGTAGAAGCTTTTCGGCTTCTCGTGCGTGGTGCGTATGTCTAAGCGAATTCAAGACTGAGCTATGTTTAATTAATTATAACTAAACATATACTTAACTACTGATTGGCTATATATGTATATAGATCGGATACGCGACTCTTTAGAAGCGTATCCTGTCGCATGAACTTCAATCTAGATTTAAGATCGCAACTGACGTCCTTCTGAGACGTCGCGATGCCTAGCTTCAACTAGCGTCATCCCTTCTCATGTGAATTCATAAACGGATATCACAAATGGATGTCACATTCACGAGGGGTGGATCACATTTGTGTATCGCACCCAAGTGACAGGTCAAAAGTAATCATGGATACTTTTAGACCAAACATTAAGTATACTACTTTATGTTTACGTGTAACTAGATGCCCTGTTACACCATCCCCCGTTTCAAAACGATTTTTACATTTTGTAAAAAATCGCCTAGGAGACAGAGAGATTTGCGAGCCGTTATAAACGTGCCGCTTTACTCTACTCAATTCTCATGCCACCGAAACGTGATAAGGCTGATGGATCGCCTGCTAAGGCACCCATGCAGTCCAGCACTAAGCGCACGCGCCGCGATTTATCGCAGCCGTCGCAAAGTGCTTCAGGCACTGAGGTAAATCTTCCATCTCACTATAATGTGGATGAAAATCCATCTCTCATTGTAGATTACAATGAGACTACGCCATTGCCATCACCCCAAAGTGGCGATGAGCATAGCGCATTGATGGGACATGTGTCCCCATCATTTGAGGCACCCGTCCTTGAGGGAGCATCTATGCTTCCTGCTAGCGAATGTAGAACCTCGTCGCCTGCGCCTACGAGCGCAGCGGCTAAGACTGAGCACGCTAATTCAAAAGGAGTAGTCGCGACTCGATCAGATGTGACTCCTCAGGCTGATGTCTTGACAATCCATAATGGAGAGTCAGACTCAGGTGAGTGTGAGCTTAAAGCTCCACCTAGTACACCTTCGGCCTCACTAGCCCGCCGTCGCGAGGGCGGCTACGTGAGTAGTGGCTTGCCACTAATGCCACCTCCATCTGAGTGGATGAACTCGGATGGGTCTAGCGCAGCGCTTTTGCAGCGTGCAACTATTGACGCTCATAAATTTTATAGCGTCTTTCCCTTGTGGAAAAAGCAGGGCAAAGCACTTGGTCATGCTTTCCCAATTCCAGTCGTGCTGCGTTCTAACGAAACAGCCGACGAATATGAAGCTGAACTTCGGCGCCGTGTAACGTTGCAGGAAGATGCAACAAAAAAACGGTCGCAGCGAATCAGCTTCGCCATGAAGCGTGCGCATGAAATTTCAGGTGGTAAGCGACCCCCAATTGAATCTCGCCACGCTTCTTCTGCTAGTCCATCCGGACTTAGCAGAAAGACGACAGCTGGTGCTGCTTCACATAAGCAGCCACCAGCCCAGAAACGTCGACGCACAAAGCGTTTACAGGCTCCCATGAGTCAAAGCTCGTTGGGTATCCCTTCCACTGGACAAGGATTTGGAGCTTTCGCTTCACAAACCGGTGGGCCAACAGCCTTCCAAAAAGAAAGCGCTTATTCCCTTCCGTGTCCACCAACACAGGTAACGCCCGATAGGAGTGGCGATTACGCCCACCTACTCGCGGCTGCCTACCTTGCTGCTGTTCAGTCGCAGGCTGAGTCTGCTGCGCTGAAGAGACAGGTGGCAGATCTCTAGAGCCAAGTCTCGCGACTGACCGTGGATCTCCGCGATGTGAGGACGAGGGATCGTCAGGGGTAAGACCGCCTGAAGACCCGTTTGGACACTTTAGAGCGACTGATGATGAGAGACCCGCGTCAAGCGCGGGGTTCTCTACCGAGCCATCGTTCGGATACGGGGAGCCTATCGGCTTCCTCGTCGCCTGATCGGTCGCGACACCCGACTCACAGTCGACGTCACCATCGGTCTCGTTAGACCGATGTGGATATGTGATCTCTTGTGTATTTACATACCGTTTTGAACGACCCACGTAGAATACGGGGTGCGTCTTCATATACGGTGGGAGAGTGAGCTTATAGTCTAGGTCTCCAACTTCTTCAATTACTGTAAAGGGCCCAATGAATCGGGACAATAGCTTAGTAGTACCACCAGGTAGTACAGAGATTGCATGTTTAGGTAGAGTAGCAGTTCTTAATAGCACTTTGTCCCCCACACTAAAGTGTTCATTGTTTTTGCGACCATGCTGGTCTACATATTGTTTTTGCTTGTCCTGTGCGCTTGCCATCGCGTCACGAACCTTACGTGTGATGGCTAATCGCTCATCCACAAAGCGCTGAGCTTCGCTCACGCTTTTAGCATCCAGCTCGCCTGTGACGCCTCCAAAAGGTCGTTCACGGGTTGACGCTTTTGATAACACTATAGTGTCATCGTCAAGGAGCACTGGCATTTCTTGCCGTGCCTCCTTTGTGACACCTATAGGTGTCGTGACCACTACTAAACTAGCAGTGTCACTAGGGCAACCTTGGCCCTTTTTGGCATTCGCACCGAGCGAAGTGAGGGGTCCTACTTCACTAAGACTCGGGCTGCGCACAAACGAGACTGGCGTTCGAGGATGACGCAGTTTGTTAATGTAAAACGGTGTTTCACCCGTACTGGCGTGAACACTGTTATTAATAGCGAACTCCACGAATGGCAATTGCTTGCTACATTCTTTGGGAGTCTACTGTACGCAACACATCCGCCACAACTCGATTGGCCCGTTCTGTTTGGCCATCGGTCTGGGGATGATCAGCGGTGGACATGTGGAGCTTGCTTCCCAGAAGCTCAAACGCATGTCGCCAAAAACCCGACGTAAAACTCGGATCCCGATCCGATACTATGGACTCGGTCATCCCGTGTAGTCGATACACGTGATCCAGAAACAAGAGGGCAGCCTCTTTTCCTGAGATCTTGGTGCTACATGGTGCCAAATGCACCATCTTGCTCAGTCAGTCTACAAAGACGACGAGCCCCGTCCTGCCTTTATGGTCAGGCAGTAAGCCAAACATGAAGTCCAAACTGACCGATTTCCAACATTCAGTCGGAATCGGCAGTGGCTTCAGTGGCGCACTGTTAGAAGGTGCAGGCTTAATGCGCTGACACTCTTCGCAAGAGCGAATATAGTTGGCCACCCATCGATATAGGTGGGGTCACCAAAATTCCTCTGACACTAATAAGAATGTCTTTTCACGGCCCAGATGCCCACTAGATGGCGCATCATGGCACTCGTGAAGTATCATCAGCTTGAGATCTGTGTCATGAGGGGCATAGATTCTCAAGGGATCACAGGGTGACAGTTGATGCCATAACAGGCCATCACTGTAACTAAAGCGATTTAACTTCGCTTTGAGGTGCGACGGAAGGGTAACCTTTCGTCCACCAAAATGGTCCAACAGCGGGCGACAATGTTCGTCCTGACTGTAACACTCCTTGATATCGGAGGCCATTGAGCTCGTCACATGGTAGGCCTTCATGGCTGCCAATGTTGACGACTCAACTTGTGCTTTCGCACGAGACACACTATCCTGGTGTCTTGCCTCGAAGTCTGGTCTGCGCGATAACGCGTCAGCCGAGACATTCGACTTACCCGGCTTATATTCAACTTTGAAATTAAATTCAGAGAAGAATGTTAGCCATCTCGACATTCTCGGCGAGAGGTGCGGTGAATTTATAGCGGTCCGCAGTGATGCGTGATCCGTATAAATAAACCACAAAAGGTTCGGTGCCCAAGAGGTGCACCCGAAACTTCACAAGGGCATACTTAATTGAAAGTAGCTCCTTGTCATGCACAGGGTAATTCAGCTCTGCAGCTTTTAAAAGCCGAGACTGATAAGATATGACACGGTCAACGCCGTTGTCATCATTTTGCATGAGCGCGCTGCCGATTGCAAAATTGCTTGCATTGCAGACGACGCTAAGGGCTTATCCGCGTCTGGCAATGCCAAGACTGGTGCCTCTACAAGAGATTTCTTCACTGAAGTGAACGCAATTTCTTGTTCCTTTGACCAAGTTCATTCTGTATCCTTTTTTAAAAGGTCAGACAATGGCTTAGTCTGCTCCGCATAATTATTGCTGTACTTATGCAAGTAATTAGCGAGCCCAAGGAATTGGCGCAGATCCTTCACATGACGTGGGACTGGCCATTCCTTCATAGCCTTTACCTTTTCTGGGTCTGCTCGTACACTATGTGCACCTACGATGCAGCCCAGTACAGGTATCTCGGGGATCCCTATTACGCACTTTTGCAAGTTCACGTATGATTGGGCGTCACCCAGAGTCTGCAACACAGCGTCTAAATGACGCTTGTGCGACTCTATCGCGCTCAGACCGTCCTCCGCCCTACTATGCACGAACACGTCGTCAAAGTAATGGGGCGCGTAGGCACGTTGCTGACGCATCACGCGAGCTACCACTCGGTTGAATGTTGCCGGAGCATTTTTCAACCCTTGTGGCATCACAAGCCACTCCCACAGCATACCGCTTGGGGTGCTTACTGAAGTTTTGGCTACATCGGTATATATCATGAGAACCTGATAGTAGCCATCCTTCATATCCAACGTGGAAAAGATAGTTGACTTTCCCATGGAGCTCAACAAAACATCTTTCCGCGGGATCGGCGTTTGAGCCGGAATGGTGGCCGTTGTTCAGCTTATTAT